ATACTCAGAGGGGACAGTGAATGACCACAGTTAACAGTTACTAAGTAAAAGAGATGGATTCTAAAATAAGTCCATTTTGCTCCAAAACCAGGTAATAAACCCCCTAGAAATAAATGCTAATGAATGTTTTTTCATGTGCCTTTTGGCCAACTATGTCTTCTCTGGAGAGGTGTCTATTTAGCTCTTCAGTCCAGTTTTTAATTGAGTTCTTGGTTTTCTTTTCATTGATTTGTTTGTGTTCTTTTTAGACCATGGATATCAGTCCCTTATTGGATGTATGGTATGCAAATATTTTCTTCCAGTCACTAAAGTGTCTTTTTGTTTTAGTGATAGTTATTTATTTTTTTTTTTTGCTGTGCAGAACTTTTTACCCCCGATTTTTATATTCTCTTTTGGTTATTTTGTTGTTGGAGACACAGCCACAAAGACATCACAACACTATGTCATGGAGTGTTTTGCCTATGTTTTCTTCTATGTATTTTATGGCTTCAAGTTTTATATCCAAGTATTTTCCCCATCTTAGTTATTTTTGTGTGTAAGGTATCAGATAGTGGTCTAATTTCATTCTTTTGCATGTGCCTGACCAGTTTTCCTAACACCATTTGTTAAAGAGACTTTCCTTTCTGCACTGTATACTCTAGGCTCCTTTGTTGTAGATTAACTGTCCATTTACATGTGGGTTTATTTCTGAGGTCTAAGTTCTGAGCTCTATTCCATTAATCTGTGTGTCAGTTTTTGTTCCAGTACCATGCTTTTTTGCTTAGTATAGCATTGTAATATAGTTTGAAGTCAAGGAGTGCAATTCCACCTTTCTTCATCTTTTTGTCAGTATTGCTTTGACTATTCAGGGTCTTTTGTGGTTCCATATGAATTTTAGTAATGTTTGTTCTATATCTTTGAAGAATGCCATTGAAACTTTGACAGGGATTGCATTAAAATCTGTATATTGCTCTGAATAACATGGTAACTTTAACAATGTTAAATCTTCCAGTCTATCACTGGGGAATATATTTCCATTTCTTTGTGTCTTCTCTTTCTTTTAACAATATCTTATAATTTTCCTTGTACATATTCTTCACTTCCTTTGTTATGTTTACTTCCAGGTACTTAATCTTTCTGATGCACTTGTAAATGAGATTGTTATCTTGATTTCTTCCTCTTCTGGCTCACTCTTTGCACATAAAAATGCAACGATTTTGTAACCTGCCATTTTGCTGATACTGTTTCAATTTTTTATTGGTATCTGGAGTGTTCACTATGTATATTATCATGTCATCTGCAAATAATGATAGATTTATGTCTTCTTTCCCAATCTGGATTCATTCTCTATATCCTTCTCTTTTTATATATGGTGTTTAGTATGTTGACATATCTTCTATCCCCAGTTTTTTGATGGTTTCTTTTTATCATAAATGGATGTTGAATCTTATCAGATGCTTTCTTGGCATCTATTGATATGATCGTATGGTTTTTATTTTTTCTTTTGTTGATGTGATGAATTATGCCTTCTTTTCATCAATCCTCCACCCCTCCCCAACAAAAACATACATAAAGGCTTATCCTGGCATTTGGGGCCACAAGGGACAAACCAGCTCCTGCTTCCCCAGAATTTATACATGGTTATCCTGTCCTACTTGACCTTGACTTTTTCAACTACAGGATAAAAACATGCACAGGTCTGAACTCCTTCCTCCTACAGGATATTTGCAAGACCTTCCATGATCACTTCCTGTAGAGATGAGAATCCACTTATTCTTTTTTAAGGGTGTCTATAGAATAATTTTTCCGCTCTGAAATTTTAAAAGCCCTGCTATCAGAACATGCTCTTTCATGTCTATCCTAAATTATAACAAACTGCAATCTAAGGTAATTTTTCCTAGGCTTATCCTCAAAGGAGACATTTAAGAGCAAGTTGTCTGCATGAGACTATTTTGCATTCTTAAAGGTTACTATTTGCCCCCTATCATTTTCCTCTCTGAAATAAACATTCCCAGTTCTAATAAATTTGTCTTCAGAAAGTTTACCCCCTCACCAATCAATGATTTCTGAAGCTCCATTTTGATCTACATCCAAGTTGTTAATGAGTTTAGGTCTAGATTTCAATAAAGTTCTAGCTCAAACCATGGGAGGTGATTGACCTGGACTCATGCTGGGTTTTGTTGCTAGAAGGATGACAAAATGGCAGCTACTTTTTAATGTATATCTACCAAGGGCTTGATATTGCACTGTGTGCTTTATGTAAGCTCTCTAAGCCATTCTCCCCTCTGGAAGGGTCTTGATCCCATTTTACAAATGAGATCACGGTTTAGAGAGGATAAATAGCTTGCCAAAGCCACAGAGTTAGTGATTGGCATTTGATTCCAGGTGCAGCTAATTCCAAAGCTTAGGCATTTTCCACCACACTGCAGATATAGTAGATCATTCCCAAAGTACAAAAACATCCACCTGCCCTCAGACCACCATGAGCCAATGAGAAACACACAACCTTCAAGAATTACATTTCCTTGTTCCAAACAATGCACATGTGGCTGTGCCAGTGCACGTCTCATACACACAGTGTAAAATCCCCACTCAACCCATACTCAGGTCATTATTACTCTAGACTCCATGCCTGGGAGTCTCAACCAGCAACTCTAGCAGCTTTTTAGATGGAAATTGAAGTCATTTAGCAACACACACAAAAGTGTTGGATAAAAGTCCAAAAGCATTTTAAGCTTGGCCTGTGGCCCTTCCTCATGAAAAAAAAAAAAAAAAAAAAGCTAGGGATTGATGGGATGAGGGTGGGAAGGAGCAAAGAAAGTTAAAGTAATTGAAACAGAGTATGCAATCAATAAATATTTGTCCAGTAAACAAAATAAGATGGTTTCTACTAGTCTGACAGAGAGAAGTTGCCAAGTTCTCCTCATAATTTTCTGCCCATGTCACAGTCCATGGATGCTTATTTAGGAAACTAAATAAGAATTGCAAGAGAAAGCATATTCAAAAGAAAACTTTTCTTTTGGGTGTATTTTTTTGTTGTTGTTTCTAGCTTACAGGAAGTAAACACTCTAAGTAGATGTTACATAGCTAGTAAAATATTAAATATGAATATAACTAAGATGTGGTGAGGATTTGGATTCAAAGTACACCCCACTCCATCCTACAGAAATGCTTTTTGAATGAGTTTTCTGACAGTTCCTCTCCAGCTTTTGCAAGGAAGGAGGTGATCGTGTGGGGTCAGGCTGATGCGTTCTCTTTAAGACAAGGTCTTCCTGGGGAAAAAAGATTAGAAAGCTGCTTCTAGGATAAGCAATTCAAATATCACATCTAATTGACATAAGTAACACACTTATGCAAGAATAAGACCTGAGTGGCCATTGGAAATGTCTGTTTGTGAAATGACTGATTAAAAATCAAATAGCTCTCAATTATTTTCTTGGTAGATGAATAAGACAGCTTGGCAGAGACGGAACTGTCTCACAATAGCATGTTCTCCATGCGTTGTGCATGTAATATTCCTTTTTACTCTCAGGACTCAATTTAAATCCCCTCCTTTCCAATCAGCCTTGTACCACCACTCTTAATAACTCATTATTTTTCAAATTCCATGCACATATATTGTACACTATCAAATCAAATACATAATATGTATCCCTAAATATTTAGTGGGTGATTCTACTGTCTGCTAATTCTATTGTTAAGCCCTCTAAAGTTCAACACTTGGTGTTATCTTTATTTTCTACCATCCACAGAACTCTATTGTGGGAAACACAATGTATTATACTGCCTGGACTGTTATTGCTAAATACCACAGACTGAGTGACTTAAACAACAATTTTTTTTTTTTCCTTCCAGCTCTAGAGGCTGTAAGTTTTAGAACAAGGTGCTGAACAATTCGGTTCTGGTGAGGTCTGTCTTTCTGGATTGCAGATTTGTTCTGGCCTGGCCCTTCCTCTGGACAGAGAGAAACAAAAAGAGAGGCTGGTGTCTAGTGTCTCCTCTTCTTATTAGGACACCAATACTGCAGCCTATGGGGCCACTCTTAGGATCTCAGTGAACTTTAATCATCTCCCTGAAGGCCTTCTCTCCAAATACAGTTATTTGGAGATTAGGACTTCAATATATGAATTTGAGGGAGGGACATAGCGTAGTCCACAGCACTCAGAAATTATAGTTTAGGTACCTGTGGACTGGGGAGGGGGGGAACTCCAGAGCCTCGCAGACCTCCTTCCTGAACCATCTCTTGCACTGGTCATAGTGTGCATAATGGTTTCAGGAACCTTCTCTCAGATTCTACTAGAAAGTTGACTTTTAAAGGTTTTAAGTAATTCAAGATGAGAAACAGTAGTTCAAAGAGAATACTATTCCAATCATCAAATCATCATGGAACTAGTAAGAAGCTATGCTGAAATTAAAACTCCGTTTGTCTTCTGGAGTCCTTTTTTTAATCCATACCTCTAGCAGATGGTGTTAAACTCAAATCAGAAGGTCAGTAATGAGAGGTAGGAGTTACTGAACATATGTTGGGACCACAGCCTTCATGTTACTGTCATGACTCACTCAGTGTGTTCATTTAGTAAATATTGAAGAGATTTGTGAATATGTGGATAAGTTCTGCTTAATATTTTCCCTTACAATATGTTTTTAACAATGACCTGAGCATAATAGTCTTCACTGGACAAAAAGTGAAATAAGATGAAGAAGTTTATATGTTACCCAAGACCCGTAGGTAGAAATGAGATCCAAACCTACATCTGGCTGTCTTATTGGGTGTCCCCCTTTCCTCTACACTGTCTCCCCAAATTTGCCAACATGGAATAGTGAGTGAAATCACTCCTTCAATATTGCAACATTCTTTTAGAGGCATTTCATGCCAATGCTACATCAAATATCAAAGGAATATCAGGGAAGTTACAAACACAAGAGATGTAAGATCAGAATTCACTTGGAATACCAGTGGTGTGGTCAATGTAATTAGCAGGAGATATTAATAAGCTTGTTGCTTTCCCTTTTACTTGTAGAAGAGAATTCCTTCAGGAGATCAGGGACAACAGATTTGGATTCTATTCTGTGCTTCCAAATCCCCAGTTCTGCTTGAGAGTGAGACACCCTAGGACTGCGGAACCCTAGAAACAGCCAGCCAAACCCACCTCCACCATGGGGGCTGTGACTCGGCTGCTGCCTGGCATCTTCCTAGCTTTGCTTGTCCTTCCTACTGAAAGTGGGGTCATCAAGAAAGTCATCCGGCACAAGCGACAGAGTGGGGTGAATGTCACCCTGCCAGAGGAGACCCAGCCGGTGGTGTTCAACCACATCTACAATATCAGGCTGCCCGTAGGTTCCCAGTGCTCTGTGGATCTTGACTCACCCAATGGAGACAAAGATGTGGCCCCTGCATCAGAACCCAGCGAAAGCCTCCAGGAGCACACGGTGGACGGGGAGAACCAGATCATCTTCACACACCGCATCAACATCCCCCGCCGGGCCTGTGGTTGTGCTGCTGCTCCCGACATCAAGGAGCTTCTGAGCCGCCTGGAGGAGCTGGAGGGCTTGGTGTCTTCCCTGAGGGAGCAGTGCACCTCAGGAGCCGGCTGCTGCCTCCAGCCTGCCGAAGGTACGAGCCAGGGACTGGCCAGCCTCTTGTGCATGTGGAGAGATGATGAGCAGGGCAGATGCCACCATGTGTTATTTTCAAAGTGGGTACCCTGGGGAACTAGCTTCACCCAATAGTCACTAAAAAGAGACTTTATGGTCAAATAAAGGTGGAGATGTAACCCTCTCTGCTGCCCTTGAAGGTGTTGGTTACAAGTGTTTCTCGGAGGAATTTTCAGGTCCCTGAGAAATCTTGCTTTGAGAAACCCATTTTCCCTTAAATACCAGTTTCTAAATTGTATTTAACCAGGAAATCATCCCTAAATCTTAGGAACATGTTATAATTTTTACAACCCAAAGATTACTCCCTGAAATGTGCTGATACAGCCTCATCACCTCTTTGTATAAGCAGGGAAACAAAGGCCAAGCAGGAGGAGGAGGTTCCTCCAGGCCCTGCCATATGTGGCTGAGTTAGGATTTAAGCCACAGTGTTCCACACCCCGGTGTTCTTACATAGGTGCAGCCTGCCCTTGGTGGTGCAAAGTCTGCGGGAACTAGAGAATTTGTTCCTGTTCAATGCAACAGTGAGGGGATGACAACTATCAAGTGAATCACCTTGATGGACTCTGAGTCATTATCCCATTTGCCCTCAGTGTGTATTTTACACTCACAGCCCCTTGAGATTAGGTGTGCTACACTAAAGTTGAGAGAACTACAGTCTTTCCAACAGCTTCATATCAGAGCTGAAAATCTCTGTCATTCAGGAAAAAAAAAAAAAAAAAAAAAAACAGAAAATACTTCAACATGGCAAGTTATTTCAAAAGTAGACCTAATCACTGTAAGTGGAGAGAGAACATAGAATGTGCTCCAGGATTCCAGGGAGAGAAATAGTTCATCTTCCACTCATGTTGAATCCCACGCACCATGTAGATAGAGTCGGTGCTAGTTTAGCACAGGGCTGTCCAATAGAAATACAATGTGAGCCATCTATGCAATGTTAAAATTTCTAATTGTTACATTAAAGAAAAGGACAGGGGATACATATTTCAATCCTTTCTTTTATTTCATCCAATATATAACCAAATTTTATATATATAACCAAATACCCATCTTATTTTCAGCCTGGAATCAGTATCAAAATTATGAAGTGATATTTTCTTTTACAATGTCTTTGGAATCAGTGTGTATTTTACACTTACAACAACATCGCAGTTCAGACATGTCACAAGTCCAATGGCTTCATAGCCACATGGACCAACCTGCTAGACAGGACTGGTTTAGATTCTTACTTGTCAAATCCACTTTTTTTTTTTTTTTTAATATTAGCTTCCTTCCCTTTGTCAGGAAGAGATAAACATTAATGCAGCTATCTCTAGGTGCAGGAACATGGGAGTGAATGTTGTTTCTTCTCCTTGGGCTCCATAGAGGAAACACCAATCACTCCTGTAAGACAAGTGGAGGATGATGTGGAGCTCCAGGGACTAGACTCCTGTCCGCTGTGACCACATGGCCCTCAATCCCGCCCACCTATCAGCCTTGAGGAAAGAGAGGGGGCAAGGAGTTTTGTGGGGGCAGGGCCAGACTAACAGCTGTCCCAGCAGAGTTTAGAAACCACACCTCAGCTGCCACATTTCAGTTCTGGAAAATTAGGAAGTCTTGGACTCATGAGTACAGGTACCAGCTGGAGGCAACCAAACCCTCTGGGAAAGAGCATCACATTGGGCACTGCAGCGGGCTCTAGTGTCCTCCTCCGCCCCAATCTGCCCCCAGGCAGCTGGGCTAGTGGCCTCACTTGACCAGCGAAGAAGCTGAGCTGCAGAGAATTGGGTTCAGTGTGGCAGTTACTTCCTGGGCACCTCTGATGCCCTTGACCTTGGCAAGGTACCAAAGTGGCAGTCCAGCCCAGCATCCTGCATTCCCGCTGGCAGTGATGTTATCCCTGGGGTCTGCGACTCCTGGAAAATTCTATGGAAATTGTAGATGTTCTCCCTGGGTGGTGGAAAGTGGAAACACTACAGAGCCCACCACCACCTCCACCCCTACTGCTGCAGGCACATGAGCACACGCTTCTTTACACTTGATTCTACAATTTCAGACAGGGTGGGCTGGGGCTGAGAATTCCTACTGCCTATAACTTCCTATGAGTCCCAGCTGATTTCACTCACTGAGCGATGAGGTCTCACACACAAGGCAAGCAGGTGGGACCTGGGCAGGCATGACCATGCTCTGCCTGCATTTCATCCTGGCCTTCAGGGACAGATGCCAAGAAATTGGACTGTGGGTTCAGTCAAGCACCTCGTTTCCCCTCGTTGCAGGCCGCCTGGACACCAGACCCTTCTGCAGCGGCCGGGGGAACTTTAGCACCGAAGGATGTGGCTGTGTTTGTGAACCTGGATGGAAGGGCCCCAACTGCTCTGAGCCCGAGTGCCCGGGTAGCTGCAACCTGCGGGGCCAGTGCCTGGACGGGCAGTGCGTGTGCGATGAGGGCTTCACGGGTGAGGACTGCAGCCAGCTGGCCTGTCCTGGGGACTGCAGTGACCAGGGCCGGTGCGTGAACGGCGTCTGTGTCTGCTTCGAAGGCTACTCGGGGTCTGACTGCAGCCACGAGGTGTGCCCGATGCCCTGCAGCGAGGAGCACGGGCGGTGCGTGGACGGCAGGTGCGTGTGCCAGGATGGCTTCGCAGGTGAGGACTGCCGTGAACCCCTGTGCCTCAACAACTGCCAGGGCCGCGGGCGCTGCGTGGAGAATGAGTGTGTGTGCGACGAGGGCTTCACGGGGGAGGACTGCAGCGAGCTCATCTGCCCCAACGACTGCTTCGACCGCGGCCGCTGTGTCAACGGCACCTGCTACTGCGAGGAGGGCTTCACGGGTGAGGACTGTGGCCAGCTCACCTGCCCCAACGCCTGCCATGGCCGGGGTCGCTGCGAGGAGGGCCAGTGCGTGTGCCACGAGGGCTTCGCGGGGCCCGACTGCAGCGAGCAGCGGTGTCCCGCCGACTGTCATAACCGCGGCCGCTGCGTGGACGGCCAGTGCGAGTGCGATGATGGCTTCACCGGCCACGACTGCGGCGAGCAGCAGTGTCCCCGCGGCTGCAGTGGCCACGGCCGCTGTGTCAATGGGCAGTGCGTGTGCGACGAGGGCTACACCCGCGACGACTGTGGCCAGCTGCGCTGCCCCAACGACTGCCACGGCCGGGGCCGCTGCATACGGGGCAAGTGTGTGTGCGAAGCCGGCTTCCAGGGCTTCGACTGCAGCGAGATGAGCTGCCCCAGCGACTGCCACGGCCAGGGCCGCTGTGTGAACGGCATGTGTGTGTGTGACGATGGCTACACTGGGGAGGACTGCCGGGATCGCAGGTGCCCCGGGGACTGCAGCAGCCGGGGCCGCTGCGTGGACGGGCAGTGCGTGTGTGAGGAAGGCTTCACCGGCTCCGACTGTGCAGAGCTCTCCTGTCCCCACGACTGCCACGGCCAGGGCCGCTGCATCAACGGGCAGTGTGTGTGCCACGAAGGCTTCATGGGCAGAGACTGCAAGGAGAAGAGGTGTCCGGCGGACTGTCACGGCCAGGGCCGCTGCGTAGACGGCCAGTGTGTCTGCCAAGAGGGCTTCGCAGGCCTGGACTGCGGGCAGCGCTCCTGCCCCAATGACTGCAGTAACTGGGGCCAGTGTGTCGCTGGCCGCTGCATCTGCAATGAGGGCCACACCGGGGAAGACTGCTCCGAGGGTGAGTGCAGGGCCTTGCTTGTGTGTGGGGGCGTGATGCGCGCACACCCACTGTGTTGGGGAAGTGTGTGCACATGTGTGCACACACATTGACCTTTGAAGGGACTCTGGTCATAAGCCTATTGAAAACTCAGAGGTTCCGAGAGGCTGTGACATTGTCCTAATAACACACAGCTAAGACATCACAGAGCTGGTATTCGAATCTGCCTAACTTGCCCAACCTGATTTTGACACTCACTGCCCAAGATAAGGAAGAGAAAATGATGACCTGCCTTGGGTAGACATCAGCCTTCTTTCCTAGTCCCCACTGACACCAAACCCTAGATCCCTCTACTTGGAGGAAGTCAAAATTCAGCTAAATGGGAAGAACAGTGAGATTACATAAGACAGTTTTAAGGACAAGTCAGCTAAAGCCTAAGCATGAATACCTTTCAGGCAGCCCCTGACATCATCATTCAGTACTATCTTTTACCCTATGGAGTGTGAGCTCCTTGAAGGAGCACCCTGCTGACAGCCAAGTGTGGCATACAGTAAGTGCTCAGTAAGCATACAGCAAGCACATAAGCATCATGTAAGCAGGTGAAAACAGCAAAGACTCATTAACAATCATGTTCAATGAGCATCTTGTATGTCCTTCCCTTGATTAAGCTAGAGAAGAATAAAATAAGATTAAAGGTAGGTAAGAATCAATAAATGACTCTGTGCTTAATGTGGCCAAGGCAAGGAAACCTGGGTGGAAGAACATCATCAGGCTGGTGGGGAGGAGGTATGAGTTGGAAATTTGACAAGGTAAGCAAAGTTGAGCAAGTCCCTCTGCCTCATTCACATCTAGGAAGTGAGAGTTGGGCCAGATGAGCCCCAAAGACACCTCCAGTGCTAAAAATGTCTGACCTGTAGCTTGGGGAGGGCATACTCCCAGGCTGCATTCTCCTGTGCAGAGGCCTGAATCTGAACTGAGATCTGCAGGGTGGAGAAGTTGGAGGGGCCTGACCATAAGAGTCCTCCGGGTCATATACAGATCTGGAACTTGAACCAGAAGGCCTGTGGACGACTACCCCGCCCCGAGATTCCAAGATGGGTCACAGCACATGGTCCTTGATTTTAGAAAATGGACCTGCATTTAGGAAATGGAAGCTGGATCTGGGCTTCTGTGTGTGAGGCCACAGGCAAATAACCTGGAGAGAACGCAGAGAGAATGTCACTCACCCACACTGTTCCTTCTCCTTCCTGCCAGTTTCCCCTCCCAAAGACCTCATCGTGACAGAAGTGACCGAGGAGACCGTAAACCTGGCCTGGGACAATGAGATGCGGGTCACGGAGTATCTCATCATATACACACCTACCCAGGAGGATGGCCTGGAAATGCAGTTCCGTGTCCCTGGGGACCAGACATCTACCACCATTCGGGAGCTGGAGCCGGGTGTGGAGTACTTCATCCGTGTGTTTGCCATCCTGGAGAACAAGAGGAGCATTCCCGTCAGTGCCAGGGTGGCCACCTGTGAGTGAGCACTTCTCAGCAGCCGCCAGGCCCCTCCCCTCACACCAGAGCCTTGGCCCCAGCCCTCACCACTGCTTTGCCTTTGCCTCCATAACTCCATGGCTGTTCTTCCAATGTTACACCAGTGAAGGGCTGAAAACCCACTGAAGCCCATTGAATATGTTCTTTTAAAGAGTGCCTCACTTTCTATAAAACCTCCCTCCTTGTTCTCCTGTAGCCTCCCTGGCATAGAAAATGGTCGCAGGTAGCACTTCACAGCTGTTCACCATGCAGCAGACTTCATTGGAAGCACTTTGCATGTTCTAATCAGCAACAACCCTGTGAGATAGGTGCTATTGTTAGCCCATTTTACAGATGAGCAAACTGAGGGTAGTGGTTATTCATCTCATCCAAAATTGATAGCAATAGGATTTGAGTCCTGGTAGTGTGGTGCAGGTCCATGCTCTGAACCACTCTATTCTTCCTCTCCGTTCTGATATACATAAAAAATAAAAGTGAAAAGTTTATCTATTTAAAAAATAAAAAAGTGAAACGATGAAGGTTCAAGTTGTTCCTTTAAGACTCCAGGAGCCTTGTAGTCACCTTCACACCTGAAAGGCAAGTTGTGACTAGAAATTGGTCCTTTTTGGTTTTGAGATGGCAGCATTGGCTTAATGCCAGGCACCATGGCCAGCAGCCTGCATACAGTATATTACTCAATCCTCAGAACATTCCCAGGGGACCAGCATACTTACCTCCTCCTCTCAAGTGAAGAAACTGAGTCTCAGGCTACTTTGTGCACAGGAAAGTGGTAATGGTAGGATTTAGATGATATTCCAAGGCTGATTTGAAAACCAGATTTCCAGGTATAACCATATTTAATACATAGATGACCCTCATTCATTTTCACACTGCCTTGCAGTAGACCGCATCCCAGAAGAACCCTTAAATACACTCCAGCTCTGATGGCCAGATCCTAGCTGTGGCAGGCATCGACCTTGGGGTTTTGTGGAATCAGGGCTGTGACACTCCCAACACCCATGCTGTCAGCCTCACCTCCTGTGCTCTTCCTACAGACTTGCCAGCACCTGAAGGCCTAAGATTCAAATCCATCAAAGAGACATCTGTGGAAGTAGAGTGGGATCCTCTGGACATTGCTTTCGAAAAGTGGGAGATCAGCTTCCGGAACATGGTGAGGTGTACAAAGGCATGGGTGTATTTAACTGCAGGGATCTGAAAGATGGTCCAAGGACTCTGTAAAGTTGTGTATGGTTTATATCAACTTGCTTTCCTTAGTTTTAGGCAGACAACAAGGCTCTATTTAGCACCTTGCAATTTTGCATATGTATTTTACCTAATTTTAATGACTCAATAATCATGGCTTTTAGGACTGAGACCTAGGCAAACTGGTGTTAACTCCAGGTTCTGATTGCCTGTTATACTCTTGCAAATCTCTACTCAGAGGCAAAGAAAAGAAGAAATGCCTCCAGGCATATATGGGACTAAATATCCATTCTCTCTGGAGAGAGTAAAACAGTAAAACACATGTGAATGAGTCCAGGAAGTGGGTTCTGAGTTCAAGCCCAGCCTCTTCCACAAACTAGTGAGGAGACTGAGAGCCAATCTCTTCTGTGATGCTGGCTTCTTAGTCTATAGAGGGAGGGACAGAGGTTGAGTTTCTGTAATTATTTTGTCTCTTACATTTCATGATAAGATTTGAATGTCAAAGGGGTGAGTAGAGAGGCTTACAAGAGGGAGAAACATGCTTGAGAAATGTCATTATCATTTCTGTATCCTCAGCACCTGCAGTACTGATCTAATGTCAAGTAAGTCCTTAGGGAATAGATGAAAAACTAAAAGAGAAATGAATAAAGGAAGAACAAGTGACTCACATCAATGAAGAGGCTGGCCCTTCCTTTATGTCTTACCAAGGTGTCCCTATCTTTTAGAATAAAGAAGATGAGGCAGCGATCACCCAAAGCCTGAAAAGGCCTCAGACCACGTACCAGCAAACTGGCCTGGCTCCTGGTCAACAGTATGAGATCACTCTGCACATCGTGAAAAACAACACGCGGGGCCCGGGGCTGAAGAGGGTGACAACCACCCGTGAGTATCAGCCTTAATGCCATTTACACAATGAGGAAGCTGAGTATACCTTCCAGCACCTTTTGTATAGAGACTTAACCAATTAGCATGTGCTATGTAAAAAACAAGCCCAAAACTTAGTAGCTTAAAACAGTAATTCTGCACAATGATGATTTGGGGTTGGGCTCAGTTGTATAAATTTTCTGTCTTTGCCTGGTCTCATTTATGGATCTTTGGGGGCTGGGATGATCTCAGCCCTGGGATAGCCTCAGCCAGAATGGGGCCTCTGCTCCACATGGTCTCTCAGCCTCCAGGGATGGCCCCAAACTGGTGCTATATCACTTCTGTCAAAGCAAACCTCAACCCAGTCCAGATTTAAGGGGACATGGATCCATCTCTTGATGAGAGGAGCTTTAAAGTGACATCAGGCTGACACTCTGACAGTGCAATGTAATGCTATCATCTAGTTCTGTGAAGGAGGTACGAAAAATAGTGATGTTACTCTTTTTCAAGAGCAGAAACTTGGGCATGCAGAAGCTAAGTCAATTTTACTAACCACACATTATGAATGTGATCAGGGCCAAAAACTTAAGCCATTGTCTAGTTTTATCACTTTCACCTCATTACCACTCACATTGGCTGGGCTCTGGTTTATGTAGAATCTTGATTCCAAGTCTTCAGCAGGAACCTAAATAAAATGTCACTCAATACTAATGATGTCAGAACTTCTTGGAAGTAGACTAGATTTGGCAATATTAGATCATATGTTGGGATGGGGAGGGGTAGAACAGGGGGGTTCAAATTTAGAATTGTTCTACTAGGAAGCAAATGTTTTTTAAAGAAAATAAATAGTAATTAAGTAACTCCATTAAATTATTTTGCATTGCCATTTGGAAAAATCTTCTCTAAGAGAGCAGATGTGCCAACTGTTTATGGAATTGACTCTTCCTGGCAGGGGGTTGTCGGAAAAGTTAAATCTGTTGACTAATGACAAGAGAGAACATCTTGCATTTAAATATTTGCACATTTTGCCTAGCTCAGAGCCAATTCATAGGATTGTCTCCTTTATAAGCAAGTGTTTTCCATCATCCTGACAACATCCCTCTGTGGTAGGTGGAAGGCAGGTACTGACAGGAAAAAAAAATCATTAGCTCACCAGAAAAGCATAGAAAAGAGCAAGTAAATGCTTATTTGCTACAGAGAAGGCACACTGAAAATACAAAAGACTTTTCTTTTCCTTGCCCTTTTCTTTTTAATCTAAATGTGGGGATTGGCCATTTTATTTCTTATTATTATTAAAGGACAAACAACCCAATATTTGAAGTTCTGTAATCACACAACTGTGAACGTTGAGGTAGGGATATTTACCTGTTCATTTTACTGATACACCTGAACTTTTCCCCAATTTCAAGGACCTTAGAACTTTGATGCCCAAATATGTTTGGCTTCATTCCTTTGATCTCTGTGGAGCTCCTAAGTGTGTTGCTTCAACTTATGAAACAGTAATAATCACAGATAATTGGCCATGCTGTGAAGGTGTGTCACAATCATTTCTGGGCATGGGCATGTTTTTGGGAGGCACCCTCATGTAATGGAGGAAGGGCATGGGCTTCAGCCCTCACATCTTCTTGAGCAGGTCTCCTTAAGCCTCTGACCCACCACCTGGAAGATGGGCTTCTGGTCTTTTCCTCCAGAAGTTGTCATGAGAGTTAAAGGGGACAAAGCAGCATGCTCAGCACATGGCAAGCTCAGGACAGTGCTCATCTATTTCAGTCCGAAGTCCAAAATCTGGGGGTGATCCCTGTCCTTGGTTGATTCCCCACTTCTCTAAGGAAAGGACTGCTAAGGTACCAGCATGTATCACCCACTACTTGCTAGTAGTGATGCAGGGACATGGTCAGATTGCTCCACTTTCGATTGTGGCATCACTGACACTGTGTATTTTCCAGGATCACCATCTGCCAGCTGAAACTGAAGTAGCACCACCTAAAAATCGAAAAAGAGACTCTGCTGTTTTCTCACAATCGTCTACAAATTGTTCCTCCTTCTCATTCCCTGTATAAAGCCAAATTCCTTTCATTTGACACTTTTTCCTTAACTGATAATGAAAACACAGACTTCCTTTTTTCATTTAGTTAAAACTTAATTTTAAAACTGTTTTTTAAAAATGAAGAAACTGTGAACATCTAGTCTGTCTTCATTTTAAGCATTAACTGAATGCCTAGCATGGTTAATGTTTGTATTAAAATTGCTTATATAACTTAAAACCAAACATGTTGACACATCAATGACAAAGCCTGACTCTATGCTGAGGATTAAGAAAGATCAAAGACCTACTCTGTGAATGCAGGAGTGGCCTTATCTAAATTGAACAATACAGTTTGAGTAAACTCTAGAGAAATCTGTTACAAAACAACAAGAAAAGTATGATATTAGGATGCTGTAATTTTAACACTTAACATGAGACACTATGTCATTAAGTGTACGATACAATATTGTTAACAGTACAGGGATGCACAGTGAAATCTAGAGACTTATTATCTCACATTAGTGAAATTTTATACCCTTGGTAGAGGGAGTATGTGTTTACTAGTTTGCAACAAGGTCAAGAAAGCCTTCTCATGAAGAATGACAGATAAGTGAGGTTTTGAAGGATGAATAGGAGTCTTTGGGGAGGGGGAAATCTCAGGAAGAAGAGACAAAGTAACAGCAAGTGCAAAGACCAGGAGGCGAGAAACAGTAAGGTGTTCTCTTGGGGCCCTAAGGACATACTGTCAGAGCAGAAGCACAGGGTGGAGAGTGCAGGAAGTAAGTAATGGGCAAGAGGAAGATGGACATCAGGACACAAAGATTGCAAACTGGAGACAGCCAGGACTCTCTGGCCTGAATTTTTGTTATCCCAAATCACTTGCCAGACACTGCCAATGCCATCCTTGCCTCACTTTTCAGCTCCGTAATTCTGATTGAGAAATTATCAACCGTCCAGCCCATGAGTTTGTTACTCCATCTCATTAAACAGAAATAAGAATAATGACAATGAAATGACCATTTATCAAATCTCACTTTTCTTGTAATGTGTTGTAGGCACTATGCTAGATGTTATGCAGACATGCCTTTTAATACTTGACAAGCAAAGACACCTACAAGGGAGCTATCATCCTCCCTACTTATCGAACCGGAAATCAAGGCTAAAGCCATAGTCAATGTACACCTACAGGTCTGGAGACTGCAGGCCCTCTCTGCTCAGCTCCTGCCACTGACCCTGACCTCGGAAAACATTCTGTCCTCTGCCCACCACAGGTTTGGATGCGCCCAGTCAGATCGAGGTGAAAGACGTCACGGACACGACTGCACTGATCACATGGACCAAGCCCCTGGCCGAGATTGATGGCATCAAGCTCTCGTACAGGATCAAGGACTCACCGGGCGAGCGCACCATCATCAACCTGACGCAGGACGAGAATCAGCACAACATCGGGAAACTGAAGCCAGACACCGAGTACGAAGTGTCCCTCATCTCCCATAGGGGCGACATGTCCAGCAACCCAGCCAAAGAGACCTTCACGACAGGTAACGGGCATTCCCAGCTAATGGTGGCAAGAAAGGAAAAATGGGGAGACCCCATATTGGAGGCCTTCCTGGCTCCTTTTACAGGAAGAAGTCTAGAAAGGGATTTTCATTTCCTTACATTTTATTTCAAAATATGTGGCAATGTATTCAGTTTCCAAAGAAACATATACCTTAAATAATTTGAAAAGCAAAAAAATGCTTGCATATGTAGAAGATGCTAGTCTGATATTCTCAGACTGAAATTCTAGTGAAAAATGAAAGTTAAATAACTATTTTAATAATAGAATAGAGTAGATGGAAAACATGAATGACAAAGAGGCCTTCTAACTTCTGAGGCTTATGGCATTCTTTTAAAATTACCAATGCCGGGCCTCCCCGGTGGCGCAGCGGTTGAGCACTGGGTTGTGAAGCTGCCTGCAGCCTCTGAAGCACTGGTTCGATTCCCGGCTACCGGTCGAGGGTCCCACATGGTGAGCAGACCTCTCCTGCCTCCCACCGCTCCCCTCAGCAGTGTGTTTCTCAGTCTGCCTGCTCTGCTGTCCCCTCTGGCTCTGGTGAATTCTCTCACTCTCCTGCGCTTCTGTCTGTACCCAGTGCTTGTATAAATAAATAGATAAATAAATAAATAAATCTTTAAAAAAAAATAAAAGTACCAATGCCAAAGTCATTCAATCAGTAATTATTTTTCCAGAGTTCAGTAACACCTCGTGTGAGTTCTTATAAATAGCTTAAAGGAAGCAGGGCAGTTCTTGGCTTTTTTGTAAGTTTCTGTATAGTTCTTTGAAAGTACAAAATCTGAGGAAGAAAAAGAATTATTAAAATATCACCACACGTTAATATTGGGGCAAGTGCCACAGGGATGCGTTTGTGTAGATTTGCATAGTCACTGTTGAGACACGGGTGTGTGGGTGGTTTTGTCCTTTCTCTACAATGACAGGAGCCTTTAACATCTCAGCTAAATCGTCTGAAACCCCCAGCCCCTGGTGCTCGGTGCTCTCAAGGCAAATGTCCCTCTCCCAAACAGGCCTGGATGCCCCCAGGAATCTACGACGCATATCCCAGACAGACAACAGCATCACCCTGGAGTGGAGGAACGGCAAGGCGGCTGTGGACCGTTACAGAATTAAGTACGCGCCCATCTCTGGAGGGGACCACACTGAGGTTGAAGCCCCGAAGAGCCAACAAGCCACAACCAAGACCATACTCACAAGTGAGCTCCACATCCCAACCCAGCCGGCCCCACAGGACGTCCCCACGTTGCAGCCTTCTAGAGAGGGAAGGCAGTGCAATCCCCAGGAACCCCTCTCACTCGGGCTTTTGAGAGTCAGTCTGTGGAACATCTGGGCACTGGGCAAGACAGCCTCCAGGGACCAGTTTGGGGCCCTTTGATTGTCCTCTCAAAGTCTTTCCACCTGGGGGTAGGATCTCAACCAACCCGCATTTTCTCTTGTAGATCTGAGGCCAGGAACTGAATATGGGATTGGCGTGTCTGCGGTGAAGGGAGACAAGGAAAGTGATCCAGCCACCATCAACGCGGCCACAGGTGAGGGGCACCTGCATTGTCACCAGCATGGGCTGGCCTGGGCAGACACAACAGCACCCAGGAGGCAGACAACCTACTTACAGAGAAGCAGGAGATGACTCTGCCCTGAGGAGAAAGGGCGGCCAGGGTCCTCTAGCCCAGATGTCTACATTCATCAGCCACCTAAGCCCACCACATCTGAAAAGTAGCAGCTCTGTTATCTCGTACAGAGAAGGGGATATTTTAGGGAGTATTTTAGGAAAAATTGGAACCAGATTTCAGCAGAAATTGACAAACATTTTTTTTTTAGATTCAACTTTTTTTTTTTTTTTTACATCATTGTTCATTTTTAAACAATATTTGCTTGCCCCCACACCCCGCCTGCTCAGGCGTAGTCCCCATAGACAAACTTTTTTAAAATTGGTTATCAGTTTCATTTTTTAAGAAACCACTAACTAATCAAAACACACCTGAGAGGTCGTGTTTCTATTAGAAAATGTGTCTTACCGAGTCCCTTCTGCATGTCAAGTGTAAGCAGCAGAGCAGAGTTATAGGCCAACTTCCCCAGAGCATCCTGAGCTCCAGCCTCTGGGGGAGGGTGAGGAAGGGCTCAGTGAGTTAAGGCTGATGGTTCTGTCCTCCAGTTTTTGTTTTTGTTGTTAATTTGCAAAAAGGAAAACTGTGTCTACCTCACCACCAGCCTCTTCCTCAATTCCCCCAGGCACTGATGAGAGGAGAGGTGGGCACCACGAGGACTGAGATGAGATGTCTCATCTCCTTTCACACTGCAGTGCTGAGCACTTATCTACATGCTCTTTTTACCTTTATTTTGAAGTAACTGGAGATTCACTGCAGTTGTGAGAAGTGATGTAAAGAGATTCCCTGTGCCCTCTGCCCTGTCTCCCTCAAAGGTGACAAAGTTGTAACTATAGACCATGTTCAGCCAGGAAGTTGACATTGATATCATCTATAAATTTTAGTAAGATTTCTCTAGTTTTGCATGCACTTAATCCTGTATATGTGTGTATTTAGTTGTCTACATTTTAATCACATGTAGATTCTTGAAACCGTTACTATAGTCAATACACAAAATAGTTTCATCACAAAGAACAGTCTTTCTACCTTCGAGAGACACAGCCACCTCCTTCCCTCTCCCTTCCCCAAACCCTTGGCATTCTCTAAAATAGTCTTCATCTCTATAATTTTGTCATTTCCAGAACATTACATAACAGGAATCCCACATTATGCATGCTTTAGAGTTGGCTTATTCATTGAGTATAATCCTCTTGAAATCCATCCAGATTGTTTCTTGTATCAATAGTCAGTTCCTTTTAAATGCTATTAATCGAGTAGCATTTTATGGCACAGATAGACTATTCTACTATTTTTAATCTTAAAAAAAATCTGACAGTAATGCACAGCAGCATTTCACAAAGGTGAAAGCTGAGACCCAGATGAAGCCCCTGAAGCCCATGGCCCCTCACAGGCAGATAGTGGCCAGCGCTGGCTTGGTGCTCAGCCCCAGAGAAGCTCTGCCTCACAACCTGGAGGGTGATCCTGTCTGTTTCCCTCCTAGACATAGATGCGCCGAAGGACCTCCGGGTCTCCAAAACTTCAGAGACCAGCCTGACCCTGCAGTGGAGGCCGCCGCTAGCCAAGTTTGACCATTACCGTCTCAACTACAGTTTGGCCGCGGGCCAGCCAGTGGAGGTGCAGCTTCCCAGAGACACCACCTCCTACGAGCTGCACGGCCTGGCCCCTGGGCAGGAATACACCGTCCTCCTCAAGGCTGAGAAGGGCAGGCACAAAAGCAAGGCTGTGCGTGTGAAGGCTTCCACAGGTGAGGTCAGCCTCTGAGCTCCCTCCAGGTCTGCAGCTGGCTGGGGAGTGTGGGCCCATCAGCCAGGTTGTCTGCACAGGAGAGAACCAAGAGGAAGATGTGCTGCTTCCTCTACTCACGAAGCCTCTAAATGCCACTGTGAAAGAGCTACTTATGTCTCTCTTCTCATATTAACAGATGCAGCAAAGCCCCCTTGCTGGGCAATCTAGTGGTTTTAACTATTTCTTCTTCGGAGAACTTAAAGCATCAGGGTTTGTGTTTGCTTTTGTCCTTGGTTCTCTTTTTAATTTTGTGCATTTCACAGAATCTTTTAAATGTTTCTTTTTTTCCCCCACTTTAGTATAATAATTCATTAATTTTTTAATTTTATTTCTGTTCAAGATGGCCAAGATGTCGGATGTCATTCTTTAACTGTTTCCCATTAATTGTTTTTATTCCAGGTCTTTTATTCTCTCTAAGGTTCCCTGAAAAGTTGCATATGGTCCTCTGAGCCTTCAGTGGGGCTCTCTTCATTTTCTCTTCTCCCTTAGCGATGGAGAGGTAAACTTCCTTTTACCCTGACAGCTTAATCCTGACCACCATTGTGCCTTCCAGCCTAATTATCTGCTCCCCATCCCCGCTGCATTGTTTCCTTGATGGATAATTGAAAAAGTAATCAGAAAAAAAAAATCAGTTCTTCCTACAGGAAACACAAGCACATTGACTTTTGATCCCAGCATATGTAAGAAGAATAGGTAAAATGTTAATTCTTCAGGGTTTAACAAGTAATACTTTTTAGTTTCAGTTTAATTGTTATGCATTGATTAAGTACCCACTGCGTACAATTCCCTATTTAATGCTGTTATTTTGACTCATGTTACTGCTCATAGTTCTTGGGGAAGAGTAGATATTTGGAGTATTTTAGGGAACTCAGTCAAGGAAAAGGGGGATCATGGGATTCAGGAACAGTCAAAGAAAGTGGCATTGCAGAGATGTTGCTCCAGGGGGGATCTTGATAAGCAGGAGATAGGTCATAAAGGTGGGCATATTTAGAAATGCCTTGAAGAGTCTGTCATTTATGAATATCTCCACCTGCATATAACAGAAAGCTCAAATAACAATGAATTCAGCAAGAGAGAAGTTGGTTTCCTCTCTCATAAACTAAACCTGATATTGGGTAGTTCAAGGGTAGCATAGTAGTTCCAAACTGTCAAGGACTCAGGTTCCTTGTATCTTTGCATTCCCCCATTCTTAGCATTTGCCTTCCATTCTCAAAATCCCCTCTGTGTTACAATACGGCTGCTGCAGTACAGCCTTCACATCTGTGGTCTAGGCAGCATGAAAAAAGAAGTCCTAAAACCAAAAAGGAGTTCCTCCCATATTTCATTGACCCATTGACCATTCCTAGCTAACATGAGCCTAGGAAAGCTAGTCTTCTGGCTAAAGATGTCACTACCAACAGAATATTGTGGTTGTTTATAATGTAGAAAGAGAGAAGTGATATTTGGTAAACAAAAATTAACCTGTTCCAGAGAATCTAAAAGTAGGCAATCTGTCCACCACGCAGGGAATCCTTCCCACCCAGTTATAAGGTTATCATCAAAGAGGGATGGCTTAAGAATTGATGAGGGCAGGACAGAATCAGAAAGGAAGAAATCTATGGACTATTTTATTTTGTTAAAAGTGAGACAGGAGTTTCTTTCCATCCCCCATGTTTGCTCAGTACCATACTACACCTTTGCTTTGTGCTGAGTTCAGAGCTCCTGGAGCAATTGAGACAAGTCTGCGTTTCCCAGGACCTTGATATCTAGCAAACAGACTGACAGACACGAACCCAACTCTCCACCAGATGTAATGGGGGCTGCAGGGGGCACAGTCGGCACAGAGGGAACAGTAGGATGCCTTTGGGCATCAGAAAGGATTCAAATGGAAAACAGCTTTTGGACAGAGACCCAGGAGTCCAACAAGACTTCCCCCTGTGTTCCCCCGTGCTAGGGGAACATGCAGAGAAGCAGAGTCCACATGCCAGCCCTTGGCAAACGTGGGAAGAAAAAAAGAAAGGAAAAGTGGGAGCCCTCGGGTGAATGAACTATGGGCAAGAGAAATTCCCAGCTCTATACCACAAGGTTCGTAAGAGTAGAAGTCTGCAAAGAGCCACTCATTATCTGTGGGTTTTACGATGATGGGGAATTGGCCATCCCAAGCATTTTTCCCAGGGATTTTCAGGGCTCTGGCCATGGAATTGGGCCAAAGTGCAAGCCTCTTCTTTAATGAAGCACCAAATTTAAAGCACGCAGGACCTAGACGCTGGCATACCGGAAACTACCCAGCCCTACGGAATCGGGCATTCTCAGCTCTCTGACCTCGCTGACCAGGGTCCCTTTGATACCGGAATTGTCAGGCCTAGTCTCCCAGCCAGGACAGATCCCAGGCTGCAGGGCAGCGCTGAGCCCCAGCCGCTAGACCCCCACGGGTTGGTGTCTCACGAAGCCGCAGCAGGAACTTCGCAGATGCTCAGGCAAGCAAGCGAGAAGAGGCAGTTTGTTTATAGAAAGAAAAAGTTTATTGAGGAGAAAAAGAACAGAAATAAAGTGGGACTCCCAGGCCAGGGAACCAGGCCTGGGGGGGCAAGGAAGCCAAAGTGAAGTCGTGTCTCAGGGAATATAGACCTTTTTTCCCCTCATTATTCTAAAGCTCCACCAGTCTCTTTGTGATTGGTTAGTTCTCAGCTGTCTCACTTTGCTACTGAGTGGGGGATCTTCACATTCCTTATCAAACAGCTTTCTCTTTCCCCATTTATTGCATCTTTAAATTTATGGCCCAGTCCTCTGGATGGGCATCCCTGCATTGAAGTTAAACAGCTGCCCTTCTAATGTGACCATAAATTAAACCACTCTCCATTTCTCCAATCTCCGCCTCCCTTTACCACCTGAAGGAAACCAGGACCAGCATTAACAATGTTGTCCTTGGTCCTGGGACGTTTGTTTTTCCTAGTGGAATGGGTTACTTTCCCTGGGTTGTCCTTATCTCTGAAGCCTCCCTAAATTCTTCAGAGGTCCCCTCCTGCACTGTCCCTAAAACTGCCTAATTTCTAGCTTGCCCTGTGTCTCACCTTGCTCATTTCCCCATGATCACCCTAGGCTCATTGGTTGTTACGTATGCCAAGCCTGTGCCCTGCACGTACGTTTCATGTTGCCCAGATACCACTAGGCTCCCAGTTCTTCACATGGCATCTCACTTCTTCACTCAATGTAAGCATTTTCTCAAAACAAAGGGTTTCTCTAGTCACCAGTCTAAATGGCATCCTCAGCCTGCTTACCCCCATCACGCTACTCCAGAGTTCCTCACACACTTGCCCGGTCTGATACTGTTCAGTACTTGGTTCATTTTTCCGTGACTTGCCTCCTCATACCAACCAGAATGTGAGGATTGTCCTTTCTCCAACACTGCATTCCGAGCACCCCGAGATAGTTGAACACATGGTATATGCTTCAGGAGCAATTTGGCGACCCTGACTGCTCCAGGGGCCATATTTCCATTGAATCTTCTGGTTTCTTCCCCAACCTTCTACCACCCCCGCCCCCTAGGGCTGCATTAATAGGCCACGTTCTTCTTCTTGGGGATTAAGGTAGAGGGAAAGTCTTTAATGAGGTATAATCTAGATTGGAAAGCAGGAAAAAAAGAAGTGAGGGAGGGTAGAGTAAGAGGAAGGGAATGACAATCTAGGGAAGAAGGAGAAAGAGACAGAGACAGACACACTATCCCTATTAACATTGTTAGCATTGAGTAACATTAGTGTATTCCAAGTGTCTCCCCCTTGTCTCCTCTCTGCATTTTCATCTGATGAACTCAATGAAACCCTCTCAAAATGAAGGTCATAAATTTTCCATAAGCAGTACGGGACACAAAGCAGGCAGGATAGGTAGAAACACAAGGCGACTCATGAAGCCTCTTTCCATACCAACCTATGATTCAACATGACACACCAGTAATCCTCATGCATTTGGGAAGCAGAAAGGTAGAATTTGTTTTTTAAGTATTATGAGTAACAGAGAACATTCTGCTCTGATTTACCATTTGATTTTCTCATGGAGTAAACTGAAATTTATTTAAATGTTTATCCATTCCACAAATATTTATTTCTAACAGACTAGGACTCAGGCAAGGCTGATATATTATAGAACAGAAAGACAGAACCCATCTTCTGTAGAAATGTACATTGCAATGAGAGAGAACCAAAACTGAAATTATAAGAATGAAACAAGTCACTTTTACAGGGAAGTGTGGGAAAGTACAGGAGCACAGAGGCTAACCCAGTAAGACCAGAGTTATGGAAATGAAGTGTATCAGAGGAAGTTTTTGGAAGAAGTGACACTTGGCTGAGGCTTTGGGGTAAGTGGAGAAAGGAGTAATGACATTTCCAATAGGAGAACAGCATGTGAAAAAGCTCAAAGGAATGAAAAATTTTAGTGAAACACAAACTGTGCAATCCTGCTGTGTGACCGAGCAGGGGAATAGCAAGGTACAAGGTCAGAGCTGTCATTGGGGACCAGCTGTCATCGGGGGCCAGAGGAGCAGTGAATATCATCAAGGACTTGGACTCCCTTCTTTTTTTTTTTTTTTAAATAGAGGCATGTTTTTATTTATTTATTTATTTGTTTGTTTTGTTTGTTTTGTTTATACATGCACTGGGTACAGTCAGAAGCGCGGGAGGGTGAGAGAATTCACCAGAGCCAGAGCGGGGAGCAGAGCAGGCAGAAGGACCGAAGTACACTGCTGAGGGGAGCAGCGGGCGGCAGGAGAGGTCTGCGCGCCATGTGGGACCCTCCTCTGGTGGCCGGGGAGCAGCCGGGGATCGAACCGGCACCGCAGAGGCCGCGGGCAGCTTCGCAACCCAGCGCTCAACCGCTGCGCCACCGGGGAGGCCCCTGGACTCCCTTCTTGACAGTGATGAAGAGTAGCTGAGAAGTTTTAAGACAGATATGTTTTTATCTTCAATTGTCTTATCTCTACAAGACAAGATCAAAGTGATGGAAGGTAGACTTTGGAGTCCACAAGCTTGGCTGTGGCCATCCCCCTGATGTGGGAGATTCATGCTTTCTCGTAACAGTGAACACTGAGCATAAATTCCTCATCAGTCAGCACTCTGTAAATACCATCTGCAATATAGTGGAAGCCCAAAGATTTAAAGTTGGCACTGTCAGAAATTCCTCCAAAACAGCTGGTCAACCCACCATAAGAACAGAAACGGGATTTCCAAATCCTGATTCCCCAGGCCCACTGACATTGTTCAGAGGGTAGATGCCAATGCACAGCTGTAAGAAAAAAAGACAACAGCCTTTTCATAAAGAAATGCCAAGCAATTCCCGGGGGAACTACCCAGCGGAAGCCCTGGCTTCTGGGGCACTTAGACTACATGGGTGTCACTGGTTATTGAAATGAAGACTCTGCACTTATGTGTCACCTTTTGGTCCTGACCTCAGCTATTGTCTGCTGTATTTATATTCATTCCCTCTCTTTTTATACTTCCTATCCATCTCCTTTTCATGTATCTATTTATTGACGTTGTACCTTGTATTTATCTGATTAGCATTTGGTTGGTTAGTGAAGGGCTGGGATGAGGCACCATCAGAACCCCACTGCAGGACAGCCACAGCTCTGCAGCACTAGGTAACAAACTGATGCTCTCTCTTGATTTACCTATCAAGAAATTAAAAAGAAAATCTAAAAATTTTGGTGAACATCTCATTACCATGAATATCATTTTTTCCCTGGGCAACATAATATTATGTGAAAATTGCTTCATTCAGTGCATGAATAGTTGAAGCAGGTGGGTGGGAAATTCAATAATAGTATCACTGGCACATTAAAAACTGACTCAAAGACAAAAGTCGGTGCTCATTAGGAAGAGACATTTTCTGATGTGAATCTCCCCCTCTCTGCTCTCCACCCATCTTTACTACAAAACCTACCAGACAATCCATGATCAACTGCCCCACTTAGCTGATTTCTTTCCACATCTCTTGTAACCTGGTACCTGCAATTTCTTTCATGAAGAAAAGGAAAAAAGAATGTTTTATGTCAAAAGTAGAAGGATGACTTAAAAGACAGTTATACAAAGAGGAAAAAGAGTTGCTTAATTCATAGAAAGGTATAAATTGTCAGTCAGCTAAGTTCCTGACAAGCAATGACAGCAGGCTCAAAAGAAGGTAAATAGGATAAGAAGTGGAGTTTATGAGCCAGAGGATCAATTTTCTTAATCTGATAGTTTTGCTTAGATTGTTTTTTGTCCTCTGTCCCTCTAGGCCTGAAGATGGCAAGAACTGAATTACTCCCAAATATAGTTGTGTAAATGTTGAGGTCAAGGAAGCTATTGTCTTATCTGCAGCACTGATCCCGGCCTCCAAAGGGCCAGTGGGTTTAGGGATGAATGACTCCCCTATTTTTTTTTTTTGACAGATATACCCCAAAGTAGATATCACTTGGAGTTTGTGGTCCTTTCCTCTCATGGAGTCCATGTTTATGTGGTTAAGAAATGTGATGGGATCTTGGATGTGAATTTGGGTTAAGTGAGTCCATAGAATGCAGTTCCGGTTCAGGTATCACAAATACCTGGGACAGATAACAAATAATTTAGACTTTGCAGGCCATCGTTTTCTACTACAAAGACTCTGTCATGCCCTCTGACACATAAGCAGCCACCAACAATATATAAGTGAACAAGTGTGGCTGTGTGCCAATAAAACTTTATTTGTGACACTGACATTTGAATTTCATATATGTTCATGTGCCATGATGCATTTATCGTTCTTTGAGTTTTTTCCAAGCATTCCAAAAAATTAAACTTTTTTTTCACTCAGTCATTACCAAAGTAGGCAGCTGGTCAGATACGGTACTCTATGCAGCCCTATTCTAGCTCAGATTTGAGGGAGTGTGCTATTGTGAAACAACTAAAAGAATGTCCCCAGCTGGAAAAGTCTGAAAGAAATAGAGTCTTGACAGAGAATCGTCAATGTAATTAAAAGCTAACATTTCAAGTTCAAATTCTGCCTCAATGGACACAGAGGGCTCATGTGAAGTGAGCAACAATGCAGGGCAGAAATAGAGAAACAATTTGTTCTTTTGCATGAGCTCAAGGCAGTTCTTGCTCTGTTGTTCACAGACTTATTTCCAGGGGAAATCCTTGCTTCCTTGGGCATTCATAGTCCACATAAGCCTAGCCCTGGGCAAGCCATCACCTTTTAGGCATATTCAGACAAGTGAGTTTTCATTGTATCTTGGGTGTTCAAGAAATGAATGAAGATGGTACATTCAATTTTAATTAAACTTAATAAGCTGTTTCTTCCAGGGCCCCCGTCTTTCTTTCTATCCAGGAAGGGGCAGTTTTGCAAGGACTCCTGCCTTCCTCAGTTCCGCCTTACATATTTGTAATGTGTTCTTTTCTCTCTGATCTTTATGAAAGCTTTTTACATAAACTGATTTTGAGTCCCAGAAATTGACAAAGAAAACAAAATAAAAGAACTATGAAACAGACCTTCCCAAGGAGATTAAGAATCATGAAAAGGAAAAGTTAGCTAAGAGGATAGCTCAGCCCCCAAGACCCCAAGGATAGCCCCAGGCCGTTCCCTCTGAGCTCATCCTAATGATGAGAGACACTTTGCAAAATGGAAACTGAAGGCCAGAGCAGTCCTCACAGAGAGCTGCAGATGTGTCTCCATCCACAGAACACTGGTTTCCAAAAGACAAGCTCCAGTGTGCTTCAGCTGGTGTGTATAAAGGCAAACGAAACACTCTGTTGTTTTTTTCTGTTGGTGCTTTGATGGTGGCAGCACTGTTCTGGCCCGTGGGCAGCTGCACCACAGCCTCAGGCTCCGATGGCCTTTCTGCATGGACAGCAGCCTTGCCATTTCTAGGTTCTCAGAAGAAAGCATTTTGAGAAATGGTTGAACTGACCCCATCTCTGTCATTATTCAGACCACAGCCCCGAATTGGAAAATCTCACTCTGACCGAGGTTGGCTGGGATGGCCTCCAACTCAACTGGACCGCAGCTGACCAGGCCTACGAGCACTTTGTCATTCAGGTGCAGGAGGCCAATGGGGTGGAGGCAGCTCAAAACCTCACAGTACCCGGCAGCCTTCGGGCTGCGGCCATCCCGGGCCTCAAGGCCGCCACCCCTTATAGAGTCACCATCTATGGGGTGATCGGGGGCTATAGGACTCCAGTGCTCTCTGCTGAGACCTCCACAGGTACCTTTTACCTTTGTCTCTCTAGCTTCTGTTTTTCTCAACAGGAAACTGCCCAAGGAATCAGACAAACTAACATAACTGGACTTGTGGGTACAAGTGCTAGCTGACAATATGGCATCTAATAATGGGAGTCCATCAGCCTCCAGGGTCAGCGTTCACACTGCATGGCATGTGACCCACGCCCTATGGCATGTGTCCTCCCAGCCCAGGGACTCTCCACACAGCCCTAGAAAAAATATATCACACAAGTAATCCCCTCATCACTGGAATGGAGGGCAGTTCCTTAATAAGAAATTTTTTCCTATATCTCACCCTTTGCTCTGTTTCTCAAATTAGGAATTTGCATGATGCATGTGAAGCTAAACTTGTTTTTAGTTCAAAGACTATTCTAGTTAAAGATTCCCTGGGTCTTGGTGTGTGACTGGATCATTAAACTAGCTCTCTGTCCTCCTCCAGGAGAAACTCCCAAATTGGGAGAGGTCACGGTGTCCGAGGTGGGCTGGAATACCCTCAAGCTCAACTGGACTGCTCCCGAAGGGGCCTATGAGCACTATGCCATTCAGGTGCAGGAGAAAGACATGGCAGAGGCAGCCCAGAACCTCACGGTACCTGGGGGGCTGAGATCCGTGGACCTGGCTGGGCTCAAAGCAGCCACTCATTATACAGTCACCATTCGTGGGGTCACCTCGGACTTCAGCACAACCCCTCTGTCTGTTGAAGTCTCGACAGGTATTTTAGATTAGTTGACTAACTCACTTCATTTCATTGTCTCAGCTCGAGAGACCCAGGCTGGGTTTAGCTCCTAGCTAGCTGGAGGATACCGGTGAATCATTCCTTGCTTTCATCCAAATGTCATTTCCCTTATTTGGCCAAGACCCAGTGGTAGCACAGTGGCCAATTCCATGGAAAATTCCACCTACTCTTCCTTTACAAAAGTGAGAAATGACTTTTCTTCCAAAGTCAGTTTCAGTCATAGTATCTAAGAACTTGGATACACAACTTTGTTTTAAGAACGCACCAAAGGACTCCCCAAAGCTCCATTTGTATGTCAAGAATGGAAGTTGTGAACACTGCCTAGAACTATCTTTTACTCCCTAAGGCTGAATAAAAACCCTGGCTTTGATGCCAGCAGTTTGAATACACTCACCACCATCTCTAAATCATGCATCTGTAATCAACACTAACCAGACCACTCACCCGACCTGAGCCAAAATGCCATGTCACCTGAACCCCAGCATTTAGTTGCCTTTTAGTAACTTAGCAACTCTGTGTCCTTATGCAGAGGAGGTTCCAGATCTGGGAAACCTCACAGTGACCAAGGTTAGCTGGGATGCCCTCAGGCTGGACTGGACCACCCCAGATGGAATCTATGAGCAGTTTATCATTGAGGCCCGGGAGGCTGACCAGGCTGAAGAAGCTCACAGCCTCATAGTTCCTGGCACCCTGCGCTCCACGGAAATCCCAGGCCTTCGGGCTGGTACCCCTTACACAATCACCCTGCGTGGCCAGGTCAAGGGCGGCAGCTCTCGACCCCTTGCTATGGAGGTTATCACAGGTAACACCTCCCTCCCCAAACCAGGGACATGATGGAGCCGGCCTGTCATTAGCATAGGGAACATTTCCCGTGGGGTGGGATCCTTCTTATTCTTGTTGCTAGGCATCAGGAATACAAGTACTAACTCGGAAAGTCTGGGTCAGTTCCACCTTACTGGCTGGATATTCTTGGGTGTATCACTATACATCTCTTGGCTTTTTTTCTTTTCTCATCTTTAATCAGCGACTATGCGCATACTTCAGAACACTGTTCTGAGTAGTAACTGAGATGGTGAAGGAAAGTGATTAGCAAAGTATCCATGCCGTAGTAAGTACTGGATACAAGTCGCTAAGCTTATTCTCTAGCAACACATCATAACAAAAATAAAAATAGCATAAACAGAGCTGTGGCACAAAAATGAGGTCAGGACTTTCTAGAGAACCTTGTTAGTGCCCTTAGAGTCACAGACGCCCATCCAACTTGCAGTCAGATGTCTACAGTGTAACCTTTGGGAATGATATAGTTACCTGCTGAAATTATCCAACTCTGTCTCCTTAGCAGACACTCAAATCAGGGACATTTCCCAGAAAGGACAGCTGCATTTGACCTCAATGTTTTCATACAATTTGAGGAGAAAAATAAATTCAGCTCAATTTGTCCCATGAAAATATGCTGTTCCATCTGTTATAGAAAACTCTGTGCTGTTCATGAGGATTTTAAAAACAGCTTTAAAAGCTGAATGGGTAAATGGGCCCCATGTTTGGTAGTAGAGATTTTATGCTGGACCTTAAGCCCAGGCCCCTCTCTATAAATGTACTTGATTTAATAATGTCCCCCAAATTACCTAATTCAAATAAGTGAAATGGTTTGGGTTTTTTGTTGTTGTGTATTTTTTTTTTTTTTGCTCATACATATCAAATAAACTGAATCCTTCGCAGAAATGACACACAATTCCCAAAATCAGAAAGGCAATGTTGCAGTATAGCTAGTTGAATAGGTTGCCAGTGTCCTGTGTTTCTGGAAATATCTTTGGACCAAATAAGAGCAAAAAAGGCCTTTGAGACAGGCTGGGTGCAGGATGTAATTAAATACATATGAAGTTTATAAATTTTTGTTTATAGAGCACAGATCCTTGTGCAAATGAAATCTTACAAGGAACACAGGATTCCCCCTGCCCCCACCATGATAAATCAATGAACAGCTACTCTTGGTGATCTGGGAAGGAGGAGGGGGGTTGCCTGCACCCATGTCCTCAGCCCAGATCTTCCAAAGAAGTCACGGGTCCACATAGAACACAGGCTGAGCACAGACCTCTACAAGGTGAGCTTTGCTCAGGCTGGCTCCGGTCTCAGATACCTGAGATCAAGCACCTTGCACCTTTTTTGGCTGAAATTTCTGTAGTTATTTTCCTTTCTACTCCATGGCCACGTAAGCCTTAAAAAGAAGGCTGGAAGATGGCTTTCGACCCACAGTAGCATTCCATCTCTGCTGGGTTTTTCCATATCTGAATCCAAACATTCTAAACCAGCCATAAAAGCTACACTCAATTTCCTTCCTACATTGTAGAAAAATTAATAGTGGGCCCTGCTCTGCCCCATTTACTGAGCAAAACATTATCACTTTTAATTAAAAGGAGGCACTTGTGTCACAGAAATGGCCTTCCTCTACCATGTAGCATTCGTCATGCAGACATCCAGTGCTGGGGGGTGGGGGTAGAAGAGCCAAGTGTGGTGCCAGGACAGCTGAGAGGCATGCAGAGGAAACCTCAGCTTGCCCAAACCTGAGAGCACACGCCTGCAGCCCCGTCAGCTAGCTTGTGGCCAGCACGGAGCTGGGTCACAGTAACGGAGGTGATGTGGTGGTGCCAGTCATTTCCATGTGATTGAGACTTTCCCAGGAAACACCTAAGCAACGGTCTGGCTGCCACTATGGGCCCTCGCTCTGTCAGGGCCTCTGAGCATCTGTTATGATGCTCAGAGATTTGCAAGTGTTATCGCTGACTTAGCACACAAGTCAGCAAGATAGTCACTGTTAGCTCCATTTAAAGGGTAGGTAGGAGAGGGAGGCTTAGAGATGCACTGGGTGACACACCCAACATGACAGCTTGCCCTGAAGTGCTGGAATTCTACCCAGGGGCCTCTGCCCCCAAAGTCTGCAGTTCTAACCATTCCTACTCCCTTACCCTGACCCAAGACCCCACCTTACTACGGGACCTGCGGGTGCTGGCCGCACAGTCCCCTTTCTGGCCATTTTTAGCTCCTGAAGAAAGCTGTGGTCCAATTTCAAATTGGAAATTCCTAGAGGCCAAGAATGACCCCAAAACCTCTTCTTGCCCTTTCTCTCCCCCTTAGAGCTAGGCTATGCGACATCGGGTTTCCTTGGTTTGGGTTTGCAGGACTGACAAACACTTCTCTGTCCTTCTTCAGAGGAGCTCCCAAAGCTGGGAGACTTAGCTGTGACCGAGGTTGGCTGGGATGGCCTCCAACTCAACTGGACCGCAGCTGACCAGGCCTACAAGCACTTTGTCATTCAGGTGCAGGAGGCCAACGGGGTGGAGGCAGCTCAGAACCTCACGGTACCTGGCAGCCTTCGGGCTGCAGCCATCCCGGGCCTCAAGGCTGCCACCCCTTACAGAGTCACCATCTACGGGGTGATCGGGGGCTATAGGACTCCAATGCTCTCTGCTGAGACCTCCACAGGTACCTTCTTCTCTGCTGTCCATGTCTTCTCCCCAGGGTTCCCTGTGCCTCTCCAAGAGATGGTTCAGGGGATCAGCTTTCTCCATGGCCGAATCCTTCCACACCCCTCTTAGCTGCTGGCCACGCTGCTCAGTTACCTCCCCGTGGCCTGCACCTTGGCCCAGATGCCTTTGCCCTCTTGAGAATGAACAATGCAGTTACTGCCTTTGCTGACTGCCGGCCTCCCATCCTCTCCCATACTTTACCTTCCAGCCTATAACTAGATCTCTTTTAAACTGATGGCTTTCTATTTCAGGAGACAGCCTGCTGGTTTTAATTCTCTTCTCCAGTGCTTGGGTCTAACTAACAGCCGACCTTTCCCATGTGTGAGTTCTGGTGGAGCACAGATTGTTTACTTTGAAGAGTCTTTCTGTTAGTGGAATTGGGGCATTACCATCCCAAATCCCTCCAGGTTATGGGCACTGTGGTTGTTGCCTTTAAGAAATGTTTCTTTAAAATGCACTGAGTATAAGAAAACAGAATTAGCCTCCTCCAGGCAATCTTCTCAGATCCTGAGTCATTGTTAGAACATCAGATTAACAAATAGCTCGACCAAAAAAAAAAAAAAAAAAAATCACACAATTATGACTGGAGACAGTACCAAAGAAAAAGGCATTCATTTGCAGACATACACACAGCAGTATTTGAAGCAAGGAATGTCCCAGACTATGAGCATCAGGGATTGGACGCCCTTTTTGCTGTTTTAATCAAGAGTTGTTCCCGGAAGTGTTAGCTCATGCTGGCACACTCCCTACCCAGACCCAACAGGGTGCATTATAGTTTACTTATCACTCTGCTGGGGGGATAAGGCAGCCAGTGTGTCCCTAGAAGCCTGGTAAGGGAGGGACCTTCCCCAGCCCTCTCTTAGGTCTCTCACCTTTCTTATAAGCCTCGGCCTCTGGAGCGCAGAAGAGGCTATGTATGCTGCTTTGTGTTGCACGCACCTCTCCTATTCTTAGATAATTATTGCAAGGAAACTCTTTATCAGACATGTATGTCCTAGTTGATTGTAACAAGAAAGCACAGCTCTTTATTTTAGCCTCCATCATTTCAGTAACTGTTTCCAAGATAAACAGAAAACACAGGCCACCGCTGCATGATGGTGACCTTGAAATGCCTAGAAATCACAGGTGAGGCTGATCTGGAAGGATCCAAGGTTCTTTTTACAAACCGTTCCTTTCCAGAAGGTAGAGAAATCATCTGCCACATCTGATCTTTCCTGCAGATTCTGTGATTTGGGTGTCCCTTGTATTTTTATGTATTTTTTTTCTTTTTAATGATAGCAACATTCTTGCTTCTGATGAGTTGGCCTGTGGGGAGGAAGGGCCATAATCCATCTGTGTCTCACCAAATCTGATGGGATGGGAAGGTCACCTTCCTCGCTAGAGTCAGCTTTCCTACCCCTACCTCTGCCTGCCCTCTGCATGTTTTATTCCTGCTGCTCGAATAAGAACTGGCAAGACCATCTCCAAAGCAAAATTTAATTTCTTAGCCAAGCAGGGTTGCCTGACTGCCTTGTGTTGGCTCAACTGTCTTGGCTGGCAAAGCTATTCTGTCCTTATTGGCCCACGTCAAAGCAGTAAAAGGGAGGACAAGCTGTTTTAACAGAATGTGAGAATGGCTGTCCCTTGTCAAAGTAAGTAGAAAATTACTGAGATTTACACTAAGTTGCCAATTCCCTCAAGTCACAAAATCAGGAGCCTGGAGGTACCACCTTGGGAGGGTAATGGCCTCAGAATTAGTTAGTCTTTACTTGAATAGACCAAGCATCCACAGAGAAGGATGCCTGCAGGAGGAAGCCAAGTGGTCTTGGTCTCCTGAGCACAATTCCAGAGGCCAGTAGCTGCCAGCAAGCCTATCTTTTGATCTATCGCCCGTGGGGCTTCCAGAAGCATGGAAACTCCAGCACAAGCAACAGTGCCTGCTTGGATCATTCAGCATGTCTCTCACACCCAGGACCTTGGCCAGGGACATCTAATTGCCATACCATCCTTTTTTGTTTTTCCTTTAACAAGTCCCCCTCCTCTTTCCTTCTCCTTGGCACTGACCAGGAGCACTGCTTCCTTTCACCGTAACCCTGAACTTTCAGATCTTTCTACCCAGCTCTGGTCCTAGTAACAACAACCTCAATCTTAAAACACAGCCAAATAATTAACTCAAGTGTATTTGTTTCTTCTGCCCTCCCCCCTCCTTTTTCAGCTGAAGAACCAGAAATTGGAAACTTAAGTGTTTCTGACGTAACACCTGAGAGCTTCAATCTCTCCTGGACAGCAACCGATGGAGCCTTCGAGACCTTTACCATTGAAATTATTGATTCCAATAGGTTCCTGGAGACCATGGAATATAATATTTCGGGTGATGCGCGAACTGCCCATATCTCAGGGCTCCGCCCTAGTAATGATTTTATTGTCTACCTCTCTGGAATCACTCCCAGCGTCTGGACCAAAACCATCAGTGCCACAGCCACGACAGGTACATGCTCCTTCTCCCATCTCTAACACCCTCTCTCCAGAATCTTCCTTGCAGGGTGAAACCACTGCTTCTCACCCACCGAAGCACAAGCAGTGGTACATTAACTCTTCCAGGATGCTGGGCTGGAGCACTGAACCATCTAATCTAACTCTCTCCCAATAGCAGCCCACATGGTGGATTGCCATAAAACCCTTACCTGATCTCTCGCCAGCAGGACATCCACAGCATAAAACATAGATTGGGCAAGATTGCCATATGGACTCTGGAGACAAGTTCTTTCCCTTCAATAACTAAAAAGCCAAAATGAAAGTTTCCCTTGACTTGGAAAGACATTGCCTCAATAAAAGAGGTCTAAAAATGTGCACTTTGGGTTATCCTAGTATCTTCATCTGTCTGGTGCCTTTCACCTCCTGATGTCTAAATACCCCACTGATAGATGGAATTGCTTTGGTGATAGTATATTTATTTCAAGTGGGAAATGCAAAGAGAGAGCAGAGATTACTCATTGCAGGAATGCAGGGAAGGTACGTCATCCAGGCCTCTCAATTCCAATGTCACCCCTAGGAGAGAAGACTCAAATATTCTGTCTTTCCTGCAGAATGGTAGATGGTCAATGGAAAAGTAAAAACAGAATAGTCATGTTGAAATAAGGAGCTTGGTTAACTAGAGAGTAAACTGCTCTCACTTTAAATGTATGGTAACTGTGACTCATACTATATAAGATACTCTCTTCTGCAAAAGAGAATTCTATATGATCTGGGAAGGAGACCTCTGTCCATTCAAAACAGCATTCTTAGCACAGTTTAGGCAATGCCTTCTCTTGACAGGTAAAGTAAGACAAACTAAAGGAAAAAAGTGGGTGGAGCAAAATAGGAGAATTTCTTCTTGTCTTTCACAAAGTGGGACCCCATTTTCTGGTAGTGTTGGGGGTCCAGGAAAAGGGTCACCACTGTAGCATCAAAATGATCTCTCACTCAAGTCGCTCACAGCTGAGGAACAGTCTGGCCCTGCTCCATGAGACACATTGCTCTCAGGATGGCCCACAGAAGAGGTAGGAGCCAGCAGTAGTTAGTTCTCATCTCTACCATATTCAAGTGTAATGAGACCCAGGGACAAAAACCAGCCCACCATGTAGGATTGTTTCTCCCAGTTCAATCTGGCTTTCAGCCGAGGACAAGTTCCCTTGCCAGAGGGTAAAGTCTAAAACTTTATGGATTTAGTCTTACGTGTTCTGATGTTGGCGCTCTAATGGGGTTGTTTTGTAATTGACACATTTTCATATTTTTTCTTCTTGCTTTAGTAGTTGAACCTGTCCTTAGCCATCTTACTGTCTCAAATACGACCTGGGGCAGTGTGTCCATCTCATGGAGAGCTCAGCCATCCACCTTTGATAGCTTTCTTGTAGAAGTTAGGAATTCAGACCACCTCCTGGGCACGGTGGTGCACGCCGTGCCTGCAGCATCTCGCAGCTTTGTCATCACCAACCTCAAAGCTTCTTCTAATTACACTGCCCACCTCCATGGGCTACTGAGCGGGCAGCCTGCTCAGACCCTCATGGTCCAAGCAACCACAGGTATTTCCCATTACGTGTTCACTCTTCTTTTGAACTTCCTCAGGAGAGCAGTCCAGAGAATCACCCATTCCCCATTTCTCATCCTCCTGCTTCCTCCCAATCCTTCTCATATTGGAGTCACCCAGTCAGAACTTTAACGTTTGAAAAAAAATTCTTACCCCAAATGATGGGCCTTCTGTGTGAACCTCTTTTTCCGAAATAGCCACTCACATCTGGAATTGTTATATTTGTTTGTAAGGACTTAACCTGACATGCTTTGGTCGAATTTCTAAACAATTCTTTTGTCTGATCTTGAATAATCTATTCCAGTTCCACCGATTATCATCTGCCTGTGGTCTCTCTAATCACAGTTTGCCTGCGCGATACTCAAATAGGTGGGTGCATGCCGTTCTGGTTCCTTGGTCAGAATGATCTACATTCTTTTACTCTCCATGGAGATTTTACATAGCGGTGCCACCAGCATGCAGAGAAAAGACCCTAAAGCACACCCCAAGACCCACATGAGAGGCCCCAGTGGTCTTGTCTTGTTTTTGAGACTTTCATTTACTGCCTGCATTCCCCACAAAGATGTGTTTTTTCATATCGACTCTCTCAAGCATGTTAGGCCTCCAGTGCCAGAGTCTTCTTTTGGCCATCATCTTCTCTGAATTTTGGTGCATGTCGTGAGCGTTCAGTTTCTGAAAATGTGCATCTTCCTTGGAAGCAGACAGCATGGCAAGGTATTGTTTCAAATGGTTGCAAGTGTTGAGAACAAAATTCCCCAGCTCGCATGGACTGCCTGCCTCCTACCTACCCTTCTCTTTCTGGGGTTTTTTCCCTTGCATCTCACTGTCTAGCTTGGTTGCGCCCTTTCCCAGACAGCTTGAGGTGAAGCTGACCTTGAGACACTAGGTCTCTTTCTGCATGAAATGTGTGGTCACTGCCGTCTCTGACACATGAGGAGAGTCCTTACATTCATGCCTAGTTTAGGCGATTGCTTCCACAGGAAAATATGGGGAAGGGCCATAAAGATTCCCATTTGGAGGATCCTACCTTTGGTGTGGTTGAGCCAATGCTGTGGCTGAAAATTCTAGCATCATTAGCTTTTCAAACTATCGTTAAGAGGGAGAGCCCATGTCATGACTGATGACTTTATTCTGCTTCTGAGCCAGATCCTTTGTGTCCTTGCATGGAGTTTTATGCTCAGAAATCATCCAGTTAAAGTTTGTCCAAATGTGCCCCTTCTTTCCTCCAAATTCTAGAACTTCAGCAAAACAGCTCCCAGGTCCTTGGAAGAAATAGTCTGCTTCCTCCCAATTCAAAGTCCTGACCTTAATATCTCAATCTTCTGGGACTGGTGCCTCTCTCTAAAGTATAGCCTGGGTTAAAGTTATGTTAATGTGAGTAATGTTTGTGTTAGAGAAGGAAGGAGGCGAGTCCGGGTTTGGGGGAAAAAATGCACATTTAGGAAGCCAGCCCATAAGCATTCCAGTTGAAACTAGTTGTGTAGTTAAAAATTAACATTACATGTGTTTTGAAGTACTGGAGGAATCTCTCTATCAACGAGTATCTTTGATTCAGAGATCTTGAGCTATTTGAATTCTTTTAATTCTCCAGGAACTCTTTTTTTGAAGGGAAGCATGGCACTATGTATGAAGGGCACAAGTAGTACATGATTAAATAATTTGACAGGGGAAAAAAAATAACATTACAAATGAGTTGCCCTCATAACTGACTCTCTAGATCTGAAGGAACAAGAGATACTTAACCTCAGTACAGCCATCCATCTTTCCAAATCATCCCAGAAATGAATTTGCTAATCAGAAAAAAGGTCATTCCTAAATATTTTCCTAGAATATTTTACTAGGGTGCATTCATTGAGTTTCTATATACTACAGAGAATTTCTCTTGAATGGAGATTAGCCTTTCAGTTATACAAGCCAAATTATTCAGAAGATGACTAAATAAAAAACTCCAGGGTAGCATTTTTGAAGCCGTGTTCAGTGGAACACCAGCTCCTTGAGATGTTCAAAGAATATTCCCCAGAAAGGGTACCCGTGGATCCAAAGTTGAGAAGATGCTGGGCTAAGCCAAATTAAGTGTCTCTCTTTACAGAGGCAATATTTCAACCTTTCAAGTGCTTGCGTGCTTTGTGAGTCTCCAGAGTGGATATAATTCTCAGTGTTTACAGTACATACTTCATCAGAAAGTTGTGTTTTCTTGGAACATCTTACAGAGCCAGTGCTCCATTATAAACCTTTGACAACCTTTTCCTTCATCCTATCTACTGCTCTAATGGCTTGTTCACTGTTCTTCATATGTGGGTTCTAGATTTTATTTTATTTTATTTTATTTTAAAGATTTATTTACTCATTTACACAAGAATAGGGTACAGGCCAGATACGTGGGAGGGTGAGAGGATTCACCAGAGACAGAGCGGGGAACAGAACAGGAAGACTGACCAAATACACTGCTGAGGGGAGCAGCAGGCATGACAGGAGAGTTCTGCCGCGCCATGTGGGACCCTCGCCGGTCGGCCGGGATTGAACCGGTGCTGCAGAGGCTGCAGACAGCTTCACAGCGTGGCGTTCAACCTCCTGCACCACCATGGGAGGCCCGGGTTCTAGATTTTAAAAGAAGCAAACCCACGCCTCCAGAGAAACCAATGTATTCTCTAGCATTGTCATCAATGCAGGTGTGAACGGTGCCTACTACTCTACCTTTCTGCAAATATTTAAAGGGTTGGATACTCTCATGTTCTATGGCTACCTAGAAATCCCCTTCTTCCTGTAATGATGTCTCTTTCTCTCTGCCCATGTTCCTTCTCCTCAGAACCAGAGCCACAGTTGGGCACTCTAATCCTTAGCAATATTACTCCTGACAGCTTCAATGTGTCATGGACCCACCGAGCTGGGCCTTTTGCAAAGATTGTTATCAGTGTGAGCAATGCTCACTCCCTGCATGGGTCCCAGCAACTCACGGTCCCAGGAGACGCACAGCATGCTCACGTCACAGGCTTGGAGGAGAACACGGGCTAGGATGTTAGCGTGGCAGGGACGACTTGGGCTGGGGACCCCATGAGACCCCTCACTGCCTTTGTCATGACAGGTATTCCTTCAGAGGTTCTCCTTGTTGTTTAGAACTCTGAGAAGGGGGGAGGGGAAAGGTGACAGACATTCTACAGGGAAATTCAACCCAAAATAGAGTCTTCAGTGCATATGTCAACTTGGAAGACAGAAGGGAGACATTACTATTGCAAAGCATTCTGGGGCATGGAGCCAGGTACTCCATGGCTGCATGAAGCTGTCCAAATCACTGTGCCCAGTCATTATAGGCAGTCAGATCCATGGTTTGGAGAGTCTAGATGAAGAGTAAGTTCCAAATAAAAGCCTACAGCTAGGAATTTCTTTATAAAGCATGCAATGGAAGGAAGTTCACAAACTACCTACCCCAGAAATGGAATAATTTATCTCTTTTTCTCAAAAAATGTTTCTTAAAATTGACATCGACAACAGAGGAATGAAGTCCAACCGAGGATAGCAGATAAAGCCCATTTAATTAAGCCTCACCCATTCATTAAACTTGACTTCTAACTTGTCCTTCACTTATATAAAGAAGCAGTTTTCTATTTTCTTCCTGCCATTATCCTACATCAATGGCAAAGGCTGCAAGTGGCATCAATTAACTAAATCCCTATCCTGAAAAACCTCAGAAAAGTTTTAGAAGTCTCTTGACTTCTACTAATGACAGTTTTCAGGAGATCAACTTTGCCATCTGATTTTCACATTAAACCAGATCTTTCTCTCCCACGGCCTAAATTGCTGTGAACAAGATGTTAATAAGTTCAATTGAATATTTTATTGGAGGCTGCCTGGTGTGCTAGAAAAGTCAGGATTTGGGGATCAGATCTATGTGGTTTCTGAGCCTCACCCACATCTTTTTAGCTGGATTTTAATTTCTCTGAATCCAAACTTCTTTTCGAAGAGAGGATGCCCCAAAATACTTGCTGCAGTTTTGTCTCAGGGATTAAACAGATATAATGACATTTAACTGCCTGGCCTCCAGTTGATATTTTAGAGAATCTGCTCTCTCCCAACTATGAGGACACTGGTGTTCTTAAAAAGAAGAAACAAGCCTGGATAGAAACCATAGGCCTCATGCAATCGTGGTTACATTTTATTGTCCAGTTATCTAATGTGAAGTTGATCCTTCAAGTCCAAAATACAGAAAGTGGTAGTTCCTTGGTGGGTGGAGCAGAGGGAGAAGCCAGGCCAATGGAACTTCACTGCCTGAGAGAGGAGGGATGGAGAGACGAGGGATGGCCAGGCGCAGACCCCACTGGGCCCTGACTTGTAGCCTCTTGCAGGACCTCCCATAGAACAGAGAGAAGAAAAGGGGGCTGGGAGAACTGATCCTGGGAGTCCTGGATCCAGTTACAGTATTGTCTCAGCTAATCCTTGATGTGAAAGGACTGCACTTTAAAAGAAGCATATTAATGAAAAAAAAAATGAATGTGATAGACTATAAACAACAGACCCATGATTGACTAATTAGCCTGAATGCCCTCCTTTTCAATAGAATTTGTGGCTTTGATGGTGAGGAGATGTGAGGTCAGCTATCAAAGGCAGGCCTTATCTAAACAAAATTCAGCAATAGAATTTGAGATCCTTGTGTTGCAGACAAAGAAGCATGTTTGCACAGGATATGTGATTTCATCTTTGCCTTTGATAGAGTTCTGATCTGGGGGAGAGCTTTCGTTGGTTTGAAAAAAAAAAAAATGCCTCAGAATAAACACCAAGCACTTCCAAATAAGCACAGGAAGTGCAAGCCACAACAAAATTTAAATCTCTCCTTAGAGGATGAGGATAGCCATTCATTTGCTCATGTAGTCACCAAACACTTCTTTTTTAAACAGTTTTCTTTACATCCCCTGGATTAGCCTCTGGGTATTAGTGTTAAAGTCTTTGAAAGTTTCCACGTAGCTGCAGTGGAAAAGAAGGCTCTAAACTAGATGTAGCTAAAGCAACCTTGGCCATGGAATGAACTCCCCATGTCAACACTAATAAAAAATAAATACGGTCACCATTACTGTGTTTTGTTTTCCTAGAGGGAGGCGCTGGACCTTTGCCACTAACGCAGCTTATGCCTCAGACTTGCCAGCACTGATAGAGTTGACCAAGTAGACAATGGCTTAGGAGGCAAAAAGAACATTTAAATTGGCATCAGGTGACCTGCATTGAATCCTAGCTTAGCCACCTCCTAGATTGTGATCCTCTATTAGTTATTGACCTCTGTGTCCATAGATGTCATGGTGGTGGATGTTATCTGCCTTATAGTGTCGCTAAGAGGATTAGATAGGATAATGGATGTGATGTCTTCTCAGTTGGAAAGTATTGGTAGAGACTTAGTTCACTCCTTTTGGAAATGTCAATGAGTGCAAAGACCCAGTGGCACATAAGAAATAAGAGTGCAGAGGATACAAATGTTGGGTGACTGAATGAACAAACGATGATGAAATTTACTGAAGATCCACACATGTCTTTACCTCCTAACTTTATCCAGGAAAATAAGCCGCTAAAAGGAATCAGCAGATCTTAGTACTCCTTAGTGGGCCATAACTGTAAATTGTGAATTTTGACACGTGAAAATTCTTACATTTTCCCTTTGCCTCACTCTTTGAGGATGGATGTCACTAACTGGCCTAATTGACTCGATTCAAAATGTGAATATTACTTTTTTTTTAATTTCTTTTTATTTATTTATGTATACAAGAACTGGGGTGCAGGCCAGAAGTGGATGGGGTGAGAGGATTCACCAGAGACAGAGTGGGGAGCAGAACACACCGATCTACTGATATATACTGCTGAGGGGAGCAGCTAGGCGAGACAGGAGAGGTCTGCTGGGCCTTGTGGGTCAGCTCCCTGGCCAGGGATCAAACTCAGGCCGCAGTGGCTTACAGCGCTGAGACTTTAAGCCCTGCACCACTAGGGAGGCCCTGCATATGTGAATTTTAAAAGAATAGAAATGTATGAGAAAAAAGGATATATATTTGAAAAAAAAAAAAAAAGAAGAAGAGAAAAAGCCAATTTTCTGCAAGACCAGCAGCCAGTGGGAATTCGAGAAAGGGGTCCCACCCAGGCCCAGGCCATCCAATGTTCGGGGGAAAGTTCATGGCATTGGCGTCAGACCCAACTAAAAACCTTGCTCTGTCACACACTAGCTTTGTGATCTTGACCAAGATAACCAGCTTCTTTAGAAGTAAACTTTCTTACTGTGTGATAGGAATAATAGCTATCTCATAGGCTCGATAAGAGAAACATGTGGCACTCAATGGGCTCTTACTAAATGTTCATTTCCTAAGCATATGCCATTTAATGATTGATTGGGTATCTGTCAGTATTCATGGCGTTCGTGCGATCCCAGCAGAGTCAGTGCTGCTAACCTGAGTTATTTTCATCCCTCCCTTCTTTCAGAGGCTCTGCCCCTTCTGGAAAACCTAACCATTTCCGACATTAATCCCTACGGGTTCACAGTTTCCTGGATGGCATCGGAGAATGCCTTTGACAGCTTCCTAGTAACGGTGGTGGATTCTGGGAAGCTGCTGGACCCCCAGGAATTCACACTTTCAGGAACCCAGAGGAAGCTGGAGCTCAGAGGCCTCATAACTGGCATTGGTTATGAGGTTATGGTCTCTGGCTTCACCCAAGGGCACCAAACCAAGCCCTTGAGTGCTGAGATTGTTACAGGTATTTTAATTCAAGTGAGCAATTTTCTCTTCTTGGTTCCCCTCCCATGTATTCCATCTGCTCGATCAACATGGTTTTAACATCCTTGTCCATGTTCCTTACTTAATCCATAGATGTGGCTTGTCTTTTATGGTCCCCCACATTCTTTTTTGTCTTAATGTCTCTAATGATTACCCCCTTCTCCCACTCCAGAAACGAGAAGGTCGAAATGCTTCCACTTGGTATCCCGAATCCTTAGATCATGCCTTATCCAGAGCTCTTGGGTATTGACTCACATCACCCTCCCTTGTGTTTATCCTGCCTGGTTCCCAGTTACATTTCAGCCTTCTCAAAAGAAATATGCCAATGAGTATATTTCAAGAACTTATTTACTTTTGCCATCTGTTGTTTTGACACTTATCAGATGACCTCCTCAACTGTGAATGTGTGTGTTGGTAAACACTAATATCACAGAGTTTCTTCAACACAGACTAAATCCATAATTTTCTTAAGACTAATAATTCTTAGCAATTAACAACTTATAACAGTAAAAAAAATCTGTGTTTCCCAAAGTCTTTCTAGAGAGTACTAGTGCTACAGGATGTTCAAAGGTCCTACTTTGAAGATATATTCCATTAGCAAATAAGTTTTAGAAACACCAACGTAAACAGAGTTCCACAGTGGGTCTTTTGACCACAAGGCTTTGCATCTAGAACATCCCAATGTCTCTCCAAAAGGGATTTCCCTAAGCAGTTTGACAATGGGTACCTTTTAAGGAAGCGGTTCGAGCAGGACTAGTTTGCTCTGAGTATACTTTGGGAAACTCAGTTGTAAATTTATCTTGACATTGAGTTTTGTCTAGTTAAGTCTATCCAATATAATATTTGGGTCAGCCTCAGTTTTGCCAACAGAACGCTTACCTAGTGGTTTAAAAACCATTAAGCAAGTTCAGAGTAGGAGCCTTCTTTTATAAAACTTCTCTAAGGAAAACAATCAAAGATATCATAAAGTTTATAAAATTTTAAAAGCCAACTTGTCCAGCATCAAGGGAAATATAATCAAGGGAAATATCATTGTGGGCAGCTCTACAGATCATTAATGTTCGTTTATTTGTCTTTTCAAAAAGAAAAGGAAAAGGTCTCACAGTGAATGGCACTCAGCCACTGGAAGACAGAGAGCAAATGTAAACAAGTGATTGACTTTGAACTTGTTTAATAATGCATGGGAGGGGCCAATGCTGAATCCAGATGTGGATTTATAGAATTACATGTAGACAAAACTCATAGATGCAAGCATCTACTTGACTTTTACTGAACGTGTCAACTCCATCTTTCCCTCTCCTTAAACTCCTAAGCTTGTTCATATTGAATAATTTATTTTTGCTATCTCAGGACACTTCTATCTCTGAGAGCTGGGGCATCACTGCATATTGATACCCCCACTGGAGAGAAGATTGTACTGGCCGGTAAAATGATGTTTTTTCTCCTCCTTCCACCATTCTCTTCCACTCTAGAAGCCGAGCCAGAAGTTGACAACCTTCTGGTTTCAGATGCCACCCCAGACAGTTTCCGTCTGTCCTGGACAGCTGATGAAGGGGTCTTCGACAGTTTTGTTCTCAAAATCAGAGATACTAAAAAGCAGTCTGAGCCACTGGAAATAACCCTACTTGCCCCTGAACGTACCAGGGATATAATAGGTCTCAGAGAGGCCACTGAATATGAAATTGAACTCTATGGAATAAGCAATGGAAGGCGATCCCAGCCAGTCAGTGCTGTAGCAACAACAGGTACCGTAAATAACCAGAGACCAGAGAAAAGGCATGACTTGGGGTCTTCTTACAGGGCTGGAAAATGACATGTGCTTTGGACACAGATGAGTTATGTTCAGAGCCTGGCCCTCGATGGTAAAATCAGCAATTTGCTAAATGTTTATGCATAAGAGTATGATGTCAGTTACTTAATAGAGTGGTGAGGACTGCATGAGAGAATTCATGAAAATACCATGGCAGAGGGCTTGGCACACAGCAAGGGATCAGCAAATGAGGCCTCTGAACATATTCATTATTGTCATTAGTTGTCATCATTATAATTACTGCCTTTTTATAAATTCCAAAGACCTTTTCTTCTCTTTGCAATCTCCATATTTCTCATATTTCTCATTTTATCCAGAGATAAACTTCCTTGTTCTTTGGTTCAATGTTTGAATGACTATGCAGGCTAAGGTGGTGAAGCATTATGTCAACCCACAAAGAGTAATAGTTATAAACTACTATGTGTGAATAATCAATACTCTGATCAGAAAGGCAAAAGAGGGAGCTGGCCAGATGAATCTTCCCTTCATAAAGCTCACTCATTTTTATTTGATATTCATAACAACTCTAAAAGGCACTGGAAGGAGAAACCCAAACCCTTTTTGATATGAGTTGTTTGAAAGAGAAAGACAGTTAACAGCATGACTACAATAATACTACTAAGGCTGACATGACTTTTTAGAGGAAAAAAGAAAGTTAAGTAATATATGGGATGAATTCCTTCATGAAATAGGAAATCTAGAAATGGCACTCTCTAGAGCTAACCCCTTCAAAAAGGGACCAGAGGAAGGATTGACAGAGTCACCAGAGAGGTGATAGGGTCCTGTTTGAACATGAAGACTCCAAGGCCCAGAAAGAAAGGTGAAAAGCTTTGCCTACAAGACAGATTTAGGATAGAACCCAAAGTCAACTTACTTTAATACTATGAAATAGAAGCAGCTGGATGACCAGCAGCTACACATACTTATCATCTCTGTCAGGCAGAGGGCATACCATGAGACAAAGCTTCTACTCTTTATCCAAAGATGGGCTTTTATGATGTCAAGTTTCAGGAGCAAGTGAGCTCCAAGAAGCCACATGTAAACCCTTAATCAGTATTTGTAGATGTGGAGGAAATGCTGAGATCCAAGCAGCCATTGCCGCAGAGGAAAAAAACAACAACCCTGTTTCTTACTACCACAGACACCCCGTCCTGGGAGAGAGGGCAGGTCTTCTCTCCTCTCTGTGGCTGCCTATAAAACAGCTTCAGATCAGAGCAGAGCTTGCTTTTGAACTTGGTTTATAAACACTGCTTTTCAAAGTTTACTTGTGATCACTGATTTTGTTTTGCAGATTTTTTTTTCTAGAGACCCTTAATCTGTAAAGCTAGAGGACAATTAATACTCATGAGCTTTTTTTTTTTTTTTTCAAAGAACAAAAGAAAACAAAAAGCAGATACTGATCTTTCAGAAAGGTCCTCTTTGATTCCTCTTTCTGGAGCCTTGCATCTCACAGCCAAAGAGCAGTGTCTGAGTGTGTGACTGTCTGTCTGTCTGCATGCCTGTGTCCTGGTACTGAAAAAGGACACGAGAGGTGACTTGAGAATAACAGCTGTCTAATTCCCACCTTCACCTCATCAGTTACATAAGGTTTCCTTTTTGTTTTTCCATCCCTCACACTGCGGTAGACCCTTGTCTGCATATCCTGTCCCTCTTTTTCCATCTAGAAGTAGCTATGACAGGGCAGTTAGAAGCAGTGCTGCCTAGAGGTTAAGCCTGCAGCCTGCAGGCAGAGTCCTTGAAGGCTAATCCTACCTCTTACCAGCTGTGTGACATCAGGCAAGTCTCCTATCTTCTCTGAGCTCAGTTCCCTCACCTGGCAAACAGAATTTACTCAAAGACCAAAGAGGTTTAAATAGATTGTGAATGTTGAGAATTTAGCATTGCTTCCTTGCCCATTGCAGTAATATGTTTGGGTATTTAATAGAAATTTTATTTTTAACACATCACTGTATCAAAATTCAAAAGTTAAAGGATATACAGTGAAGTCTGTTCTGTGTCGCTGCCACCAGTTGCTCTATCTAAAGCCCGTATCACCACTTCATTCTGTATTGTTCCAGAAATATTCTGCACAAATAGACAAAGCTAGGCATAAATCTATGCTCTTTATTTTTCAAAATTTTTGGCATAATGGATGGCACACCCACTTTTCCACACTGTTTTCCACACTGTATGTATGTGTGTGTGTTTCTTATTGATTAATAGATCATGTAGATAATGCAAATATATGACCGTTTCCAACTGATGAGCACTTAGGTTAGGATTTTTTTGCTCCTCCTACCTGTCAGTCCTACCTGGGCAATGAATCCTCTTCTCCTCATTCCTTTGAACCACTTCTTTGCAATATCCTAAAACCTCCTCCCCCTTTGAAAGGCCAGACTTGCCAGACACTTCTCTGGCCTATAGTGAGTTAAATGTCACATGCCCCCTGAGGGTCCCTAGAATTGACAGAATATGGTTCAAAATCCAGTCACAAAGGTGATGCTTTTATTCTCTCCTGGATGTTCCTAGAGGCCATCTCATAGTCAGTGAGGACCCTGGACCTTCCTAGACCTGTCCCCACTGGCACCCACAGTCATACATGCCTGTGCTCCCTTCAGCTCCTGATGTTAGTGAGGTAGTCAGTGCCCTTGTCCCAATTCCCAGAACCGCCCCTTCCAAGCCTACCCCACCTTCCCAGCCAAGTAGCCTCTCAATTCCCCCACTGGGTTCCAGCTTAGAGGCACCTAGAATCATACCACAGAGACGTTGTGTCCAGAGCCAGAACCAGCAGGTGCATGCAGACACCATGCTTGTAACCACCTTTTCTATTAAACCAGGCTTTTCATTCTTTGTGCTTTTAGCACTTTCTCCCACCAAGCAGAAAGATGACAAGCACCAAATAGAGCCAAGCACTTCTTTTGTGTTGTGTGCAGCAGGCAGATGACACACTTTTCCTCATTGAGTCACCACAACACTGCCAGACCCAGAAAGTACCCCATGTAACCCTATTTCACAGATGTGAAAACTGAGGACTAGGGGACCAAGGTGTTTTTAGCCAGTAAAGACAGAATGGGATTCAAAGCCAGGTCAGTCTAACACCAAAATTCTTCTTCTGAAACCATACTGATGATAAGAGCTACCTCCTTACTGTAGCACAGGGCATCATGTATTTTTATTGATCATTCAAAAATGTGAAGGGAGAATACATGTTTAAAAATCATTGTTGGTGTTCACATAATTAAAGACATTTGCTCCAGATTTGGGGAGGTAACTTTTTAGGAGAGGAGATAAAAGCCCCCTTTAATCTCCTTGAGAGATTTTAACACTGCCAGGTGTTTACTTAAAAGAGTATTAATTGAAAATCAAGAGTTTACTTAGAAAAAGAGACAGAGAAATGGCCTTGCCTGTATCTCCCCAGCTTTTTGGTAGCTATGATGTAGTTTCTTTGTGAGGCCCCTCCATCAGGTTCCTAGCAGCTGCCTTGTTTGCTGTGGTGCTGGAGACTTGCAGGCCCTATTTATAACAGAAGGAGATACACCAAGATAACACACAGTCTTCCATCTAGGAAGCTCTGTTGTGCAAAAATATTACTCCGCTGACCCTGGCATTCCACCACCATTTAACCGTTCCCAGAGGCTAACGTGGGTGTCTCCCTGCTGTCACTTTGTTCAGGCACATCCCTCAGGAGAGTGTCACAGAGGAGGCTATCCATTCTTAGGTCCTCCCAGGCAGAGCAGATACTACTGCCATTTTGAAGATGAGAAAACTGGCACCTAGAGAAGAAAGCTGTGGCCACCCTGGTAAACTGTGCCAGGCCCTACAGCAGTGAACCTTGGGACCAGAGCAATCAGGCTCACAGCAGAAGAGCCTCAGTGGCTGGATTTATAGACCTCGCTGAGGTTTTGGTTTTCTCAGTTTGCCTCATCTAGAGTTTTCCTAAGGGCTACTTCAAAACCCAGGGTGGCCCAGGAAGGAAAGAGTCATGGAGGAAAGAAAATAGAAGATGATCACTTTTTCTGAGTTCCTGCTGTGGGCCAGATTCTGTGCTGGGATTTTACATCCCTCACCTCCACTAAACTTCAACATATTTCTGGGGGTGGGCTTAATTTTTCCCTCTGGCTAGATGGAGCAACTGAGGATCGCAGAAGCAAAGGGACCTGCACCAGTTTACCCAGCCTGACTCAAGATCTTCCAGGCTCCAGAACCCATGTGTGGTTTCCAAAGGAGAGGGCAACAAGCCTAGCAGTCGCAGAGTCTGGGGGTGGCTTCTAGGTTACTGTAAAAGTGGTAGGAGAGAAAAAGAAATGGAGAGAAAGAAAAATCCCTCCCCAAAGTGGGCTGTGAGTTTCAGGACTTATGATCAACGTGGGTTGGAGAGGGGAAAAGATGAGGAAGTGAGCTCCCTGGAGAGTTGAAAATTATTTCCTGAATTCTCTGGATAAGCATGGTCAGCTGAAGAGGGCAAAAAGCAAGGCCAAAAATCACACAGAGAAAAGCCAAAAGAAATAGGGTTTTTTTTGGGGGGAGGTATTGACATAGCAGAAATGGTCCCTTGGACAAGGCTTTCCCTGCAGGTAGACCCAATGTTCGCGGGGTGTTTGCTTTGGGAATGGGCCTGAGGTTGCTCCCCTGGCTCTGGACTTCTATCCAGTTCTGGGAATGGGTTTGTCAAGGTCAGTTTCCATGTGAATATTATTTCCAGGATCCCGGGGCTGAGCTCACTGTACTGCCCAGTCCTAGAACCCAGAAGGTTACACCACAAGAATGTTCACTGGAGAAGTCTCAGTTTATGCCTCTGTGAAATGGCTACAGTCCCACCTTTCTTAGGGATTTCTAAATGAGGATGAATCCTTCTAAATGTCAAGCAATTGTACAATTTTTATGTCTTGGTATTATTTGATAACAAGAACTAGACTACAAAGATGTGAAAAAATGTTAAAACTCAAAAGGAGGCAAGTGCCAAGCTGGGAACCCACTCTCCCTCACTCCCTTAGTGTCAGCCGCTGTGGTGTTGACCTTGAAGGAGACCACATAGCAGCCGTACAGCAACCGGGTCCCCACCTGAATGAACAAGGATTATTTCCATCAAGTCATGACTTGATCACCATATTCTCCATCCTAAAGCTGTGGCTCAGGGGCCTCCCCTGGTGGCGCAGCGGTTGAGCGCTGGGCTGCTAGGCTGCAGGTTCGTTCCCCGGCGGCAGGCAAGGGTCCCACAAAAAAAAAAGCTGTGGCTCAGATGCAGAATCCACGTGCTCTTTTCCTGGATCAGGAATCCAGGCAGAATCATTGATGAGCAAGATACTTAACTGTTTCTGAGTTTCTCCTGTGCTTTCTCCTTGACAGCCATGGGTGCCCCGAAGGAAATCATTTTCTCAGACATCACTGAAAACTCGGCCATTGTCAGCTGGATGGCGCCGACGGCCCCAGTGGACAGCTTCCGGATTACCTATGTGCCCGTTGCAGGAGGTAGGAGAGGGGACGGGCAGGAGGAGTCCAGGGTTAGGTGGAATAGTGGAAAAGACCTAGGGCTGCACCAACTACTTCTTTATAGTAGTCAACTACTTGAGACCACCTGGATAGACTCCATCGGGAAAAACTATGATGTCCTTGGGAGAAATTCCTTGAGAAGGGTCATATTATAAAAACCCTTTCCAGCCTTGAAATGCTAAGATTCTATCCCCAGTCTTGTTTACACTTAATACAGAAGACGCTAAAAACATTGACCTTTTTCTCTTTCTTTTTTTTTTAAGGTTTATTTATTTATGCATACAAGAGCTGGGGTACAGGCCAGAGGCGTGGGGGGTGAGAGGACTCACCAGAGATAGAGTGGGGAACAGAACAGGCAGATTGACTGAAATACACTGTTGAGGGGAGCGGCGGCTGAGTCAGGAGAGGTCTGCTGTGCCATGTGGGTAGCTCCCTGGCTGGCTGGGGATCGAACTCATGCTGCAGAGGCTGCAGACTGCTTCATAGGTTGTGTCCCAACCCCCCGCGCCACTAGGGAGGCCCCTTTTTCTCTTTCTATATACTCATCTGAAAAGATGGTCTTGATCATAATAGACATGAGGCTTTGCTCTTGGTCTCAACACTGTTTGTCTCCATGTGGGATGGGGAGTTGTGATTTAGCAGAGTTGGGATTTCAAGTTCTGAGCACAGGGGCTGAAATGGAAACTCATGGGGTGAAGCATGGTCAGATCTATCTGGAAACACTGGGCAGGTAGTTACGCTCCCTGTGAGTTTACAAAAAGGATAGTCAGAAGCTGTCAGGGGATGCTGTAGCATCTCTGGACCAGATGGACCAGTTGATGTACAAACTCCTTACTAGCCCTGAAATGCTAAGAAGTAAAACATGTTGGGATTTTTTAATATAAGAATACAAACTCAATTAACCATGGCCATCTTCTTTCTTTTTTAAAAAAAAAGATTTATTTATTTATTTATTTATACATGCACTGGGTACAGTCAGAAGCACAGGAGGGTGAGAGAATTCACCAGAGCCAGAGCGGGGAGCAGAACAATCAGACTGACAAAGTACACTGCTAAGGGGAGCAGTGGTCACGGCAGGAGAGGTCTGTGTGCCATGTGGGACCCTCGCCAGCAGCTGGGGATCGAACCGGCGCTGCAGAGGCTGAGGGCAGCTTCAAAACCCAGCGCTCAACCACTGTGCCACCAGGGAGGCCCCCATCTTCTTTCTTAAACAGACTTTCTGCTAGGAAGGGATTCTAGATACTCCTAAGACAATGGACTAAGTAGATCAGCTCTACATTATATAGTGAGCTTCCCATATTCTTTCTGGGAAAAATAAAGAAGTAACATTTGCACAGGAGGCCAGCTCTCTACTGAACGGAAACTTGCCGTTTTTAGTACATGATGACTTCATGTTTTTTCCTCTCCTGGGTTGAATTTTGGCATCGGCACCAATGGAAAAAGCATTATACAAAAAGTAAGACCTCTTCTCTTATGCCAGAGGGTAGGTGCAAATGAGAAGTCAAGAAAATGGTATTGGATCGAGATAGAGTTTCATTTCAAATCGGATACACCCATTGCTGGGACAACAGTGAAGAGGGTTCAGTGAGGTTCACCATCCAACCTTGCTCTGCTGGTGTTGCAGGTTCACCCTCAGTGGTGACTGTGGATGGAACAGAGACCCAGGCCAGGCTGGTGAAGCTTTTCCCGGGAGCAGAGTACCTTGTCAGCGTCGTCGCCATGAAGGGCTTGGAGGAGAGTGAACCTGTGTCGGGCTCATTCAGCACAGGTACTTCTCTCACCTCAGGGCCATTGCTCCTGACCTAGCACTTGGCAAAAAAAGTTTTCATTGAAGAAATCCTAGCAGACAGTGGACTGTATTCAGAGGAATGGAGGCCTCATTTCTGACCTATCCATGGCCTCTCTTATGATCTGGGTGCCCTGGATGGCATCCTTGACCCCCCAGGGCCTCCATTTCCTGGGGTTCTATGAAAGAAAGAGGACAAGTTTGGGGCCACACTCACCTGGGTTGAATTCCCAAGGCTCTTCCTTCTAGATCTCTGTAGACCTCTTTAGAGACTAAGAGACTAGTTTCCTTCTCTGTAAAATGGGTGCAATTCTGCTTCCTTTGCAATGTGCTCTAAGAGTCACATGAAACTGTAAGCAAAGCACCCATAAGTGACTATGCACATCAGGCCCCCTCCTGCCCTTCCCTGCTAAGCACAGGACCACTGAGAGGAGGCTTCAAAGCAGGGGCTTCCCATAGACCTGTGATGGCTTCAGGGAATGGTGAAGCTCTAAAGCAACTGCTCTAGATTTGGCTGTGATTGCATTCCAGGCATTGTCCTTCAACCCTTCCCGTGTAATGCCTGCAGCTACTAGCTCTCCCATTTCACAGAGGAAACAACTCAGGCCCAGGGAAATTGAATACCTTGGCCAAAGACACTTAACACAGTAAATACTAGAAGCAAATCTGACCTGAGGTCAGTCTAACTCAATACTCTGTGTTCTTCTAAAACTAAAGGATTGTTTTCCTATTACAGATCCATTTGTACAGCACTCTGTAAGGAGGAGGAAATAATGAATTGCAGTGAAGGAGAATGAAATGGAAAATTTCTCTTCAGAGAGCCATTTCTCTTAACAATTTATCCTTTGGTATATGAGCAATTATCCAGGCTAATCCACTAAGGGATCCAAAGAAAAGGCCTCATAGGAAACTGTAACAATATCTTGATAGTCTAAAAAAGCTGATAATATGCATTAAGACATCCCATGTGATCCCAGTGTCCTGCCCACCCTGTCATACAGGCCATTATTTCCCCATGGAAATCTTTCATTCTTGAAATTTCCACGGCAACAGATGACAAAAGCTGGGTGCATTCCCTAAGTCCCCATTGTCCTGGTCAGTCCAACGGGCTTCTGTATGTGGTTGATGAAATGGGAAGGAACTGGCAATGGACAGTGGGGCTTCCAGATGACTCTGCACCTCCTAGTCATTGTATCTCCTGAGCTCAGGTGCCACGTCTGTGAACTGAGCCTCCACTAGTGTGCTCATCCTCCCGGGGATGGAGCCAACAATCACTGAGTAGGAAATGCCAACGCCAGAGAGAATTGGACATGGTTAGGCTGTTTGCTGAGAAAGGGATACTGGGTAATAGAAGCGGGCTGGTAAAAAGGGCAAGATCCTTTGAATATGGTTGTTTGCTTAGTACCACTCACTCAGAAGTTATTGCTAAGATCCAAATCACTTTAATAGTCATATTAAGACAACTGTATTTTTGAGAGGCCTACCCCTAGCGTATCTCACACACATTGTCAGGTTCCATCTAGCAAACACGCTTGACAAATGAGATTTGGAGAAAAGAAACGATTCAAGGGCACATTGACACTAGACAAAGAAACCAAGGAAGAGCCCGGGACCGGGGGGGCTCCAGAACCCAGCTCCATTTTCTCTGCAGGCCACCTAACCAGAGGGGTGACTCAAAGTCCTGCAGATCGACATGAAGTAAAGATAAACCTTGCCATGTGTTCAGTCCTTTCCAGTTTAGTCGATACCTTTCCACATGTAACATATGAAAATCACAATACCAGTCAGGATAAAGCCAGACAATTGTTATCCTCATTGGACAGGATAAGGGAGGGGAAAGAGAGACCCAAGGCAACCCAGGCACCGGAGGAAGGCATTATGATCACACCCAGGTCATCTGGCTCCACACCTAGAACTCTGCTCCATGTATGCAGCTGACCCCAAACTCCTCCCCACACCAGGTGTCCAGGAATAGTGCAGACAGAGAGCCACTGAGGTCTGATGTCCCCTGTCCCGCGATGACCTCTCTCCAACATGTCGCTACCTTTCTTTGCAGGTGTGGATGGTCCCTCCGGCCTGGTGACAGCCAACATCACTGATTCGGAGGCCTTCGCCATGTGGCAGCCAGCCATCGCCCCCGTGGACACTTACGTCATCTCTTATGCAGCAGAGAGAGGTAAGGTCGTGTCTGAGCCGTTCCCCACTGAGGAGTGTCTGTCCTGCTGTAAATGCTCCCTGTGCTCCCTTCCCCCTGCCACATTTGGTTCAGGATGATAAAAATTCTCTCAATTGCCATGTAAGGTTAGGCTCACGGGTCAGGGCTGGGGCAGGAGGGTGTAGTGTGAAGGGTCCTGTTCGCAGGATGCCCGGGGAGGCCCTAGAGTAAAACGACACAAACATCAGGGAGTCCAGTCGGCCATTTAAGAGAAAATCAAGGGGACATCTGCAGCCTCAGTGTTTCCCCAGCCTGTCAGTCCCTCTGCCTGTGAGTGTGTGCCGCCCTCTGCAGGAAGCAGCATCGTCAGGTCCCTTACAAACACAGAGTCCTGTCTGAGAGTCTGGCATCTTGGGCAGGTGGTGCTTGGAACCTGGACTTCTCAGGGGCCACAGAAGAGGCCAATTGCTGCAAATGTGATTGAAAAATCAGAAAGTATTTTTCCTTCTCTTCGCAACCATCTGTGCTAGTGTAGTGCATTGGCATATTAAACACTTGTTTGAGGCATCTGCCAACCAGAGTCATCAGAACAGTAAAAAAAGAGTGTCCCACTCTAGGGGCACGGTCCCAGGGGAGAGTCCCAGGGAAAGCCTTCTGTGTGCTAGAATGTTCTATGCCTTGATCTGAGTAGTTTCCCTTGTGTGTGTGCACATGTGTATGTGTGTATGCATATAGTCGTAAATTTAAATTTTAGGAACTGAGCCTCCCTGGTGGTGCAGTCTCAGCACTATAAAGCTATCGCCAGCCACTCTGGTATGAGTTCAATCCCTGGCCAGGAAGTTGACCCACATGGCACAGCAGACTTCTCCTGTCTTGGCTGCTGCTCCCCTCAGTGGTGTATTTCAGTAGATCTGCCTGTTCTGCTCCCACTCTGTCTCAGGTGAATCCTCTCACCTGCCAACACCTCTGGCCTGCACCCCAGCTCTTGTATGCATAAATAAATAATTTTTTTAAAAAAAAAAAGGTTAGGAACTTTCTATAGATAACACCTGAATACAATTTTTCAGTGGGAAAAAAGCCAATATAAATGAGGGGGTCCCTTTGTAATGAGCTCTCTAGGGAAAAAAGTGACTACTGTAATCTTAAAATAGATGTAAATCTCCTATTTGATGGTTCAGTGTTGTTTTAGTTTCCCTGACAGGAGAGGGCATTGTGCCTGGAGCGTCTGAAATCTCAATTCCCCCCTGCAGCCACCTAGGAAAGCCCTCTGAGGACAAAGCAAATGTGGAAAGAAGCGGAGCGGGACAGGGATAATCGGTTTTATGTTTTTACTCTTCATACTTAAATATTCCCCATGAGCAAAAAACTGTCAAGTCAGGGAAGATGTTGTCTCACTTAGATAATTCAAAGTATTGCTCAGGAGAATCACACAAATTTTGGATGGGGGTCTAGCCAAGGATGTAGGCCAGAAGAGAGAGGATAGATCATGGAGGTTGAGATGGAGTGACCAGCTCTTCCAATATTTCCTGGAACTTCCCTAGTTTTATTGCTAAAAGCCCCACGACCAGGGAAACCTCCATGCCTAGCAAGCCAGGTTGGTGGACTGCATGTGATGAGGAAGTAAGCGTATCGCTAGACACCGTGGCTGGCTCTCAATGGCTGAGCTGGAGAGGCAGTAACCAGGCTCACCTGTGGCTGCCACTGCCTAATGATCTGACAGTATTTGGCAAATTACTAGAGAACATGCAAGTAAGTGAAAGGAGGGGAGTACAAGCCATGGTAGAAATTAAGTTTGGAAAGTTGGAGATGTTACCTGCTACTCCCCTCTGGCTGGTCCCCATACCTCAGCTGCAAAGCTGACCCAGCCAACATCCATGTGGAAAAATCTCCTGACCCCCAGTTTCCCTTCCTTCTGATTTGGTGCCTGGAAAAATCCAGTCTCCAGATGATAAATCCTTTGCCTTTGAGGTACGTGCTCAAGAGAACGAGGGGTGTGCGTCATTGAGAGCCAACCTGCTTTCTGCAGGGTCACTGAGAGTTTCTGTGTTAGAAGTAGGTGCGTGTGCTGCGGGCCAAGACCGCCGATGGCTCAGACAGGGTGAGGTAACTGCCCCGCTGTGTGTGTCTCACGTTCAGTGCCAGAAATGATACACGCGGTGTCCGGGAACACGGTGGAGTACGCGCTGGCCGAACTGGAGCCTGCCACAGAGTACACGCTGAGGATCTTCGCGCAGAAAGGGACCCAGAAGAGTTCAACCCTCACCACCAAGTTCACCACAGGTACGAGGACTCGAGAGCCAGAAGGCACGTCTGTAACCCTCGCCACCTCCTCCTGCTGAAGTCAGGTCCTTGCAGTGTGGCGACTCCAGCATCACCAGGACCCCCTCAGCCAGGACCTTAAGAAACACCCCATTTCCTCTCGAACTGAAATGACCTGGTTTTCCCCACAGACTCGAAAAGGATTTTAAGGGGAAGGCTTTTTAAGTGGAAAAGCAGACTGCTCTGACCCTAAAGCCAGCATCCAATGATCCATGTTCTGTGCTGGGGAATATTTCTAAGAGGAAGGTTTTTCAGGAAGGTTTTTCTAAGATGCCCATCGGGCTCCTATACATTGAGATGTTTTTACATTTAGCAGCAAGCAGGGAAAGGGCTCGGGGCCAATGTCAGCATTCATCTGTTTTCTTACTGAGGAATGAGGGGGTCGGTACCTATGTTCACAGCTGTCTTTCACCTACGTCACCCGTGGTCAGTCAAGACCACACTGGACGCGGGGACAGTAGCCCATAGAGTGATGTGACGCACAGAGAAGTCGGTGTTTGGAGATCATGTGACTCCATCCTCTCATGTAGGAAGGTTCAGCTCAAGGTCCTGTGGGCCCTATGGTAGGGTGAGAACTTGAACTCACGCCTCTGCATGCCCAGGGAATGTTGTCCTGCCCAGGCTGACTTAGCTGATGTTCAATGTCTTGTCTTTTTCAGACCTTGATGCTCCAAGAGACTTGACTGCTTCCGAGGTTCAGTCAGAAACTGCCCTCCTCACCTGGCGACCCCCCCGGGCATCTGTCACAGGTTACCTGTTGATGTATGAATCCGTGGATGGTACAGTCAAGGTAACCTGAAGTCTATAAACAACTTCCCGCTGCTGGTTAAAAGGTTTTCATGATCCTCCAAGGAGGGATGAATTATCCTGTTTCTCTGCTCTAGTGCAAGTAGGGAGCTGAAAACAATTAGGGACAGGACGTTGTGCCAGGACTTCTGAGTCATATGCTCCAGCCGCTCTCATTTTAACCAGACCCCAGTGTGGCTAGCCAGCCAAGGTCAAGCCACTACTCACAAGACTTGAGGACATTTGGGAAACTGGATACTGGGTCCTTTAATGCTGAGCACAGACCAAGAGCTCCTCCCACATCTTTGCCATATACATTATGTTGCCGCTGGCATCCTTCCTTTATGTGCCAAAATCTATCTCCCACATGCTTATAACATCAGCGCTTAATAATGTTCACAGAAATTGTTCACACTACTTGAATTCTCTACCCAGGAACTATTTTTCAATTCCTTCTTAATTTGAAATAACTTTAAACCTTGATTCAAGTGAAAGAGTTTTCCTAAACCTTTACCTTCTGTGCTTGTTGTTGAAGTTCTCATTTTGGATATCATAGTTTATATTTCCAAAACCTTTTCCCTATTCTCTGCACATTCATCTTTTTCTGCATAGCATCTTCTCTTCATTTCCAAGAATATATGTCTTTGGTGGTTTATTGTACAATCTGCATACTATTTCCACCAAGTTCTTTGCTTCTGTTTCACTCTTGAGGTTAATTTGGTTTGGAGACTTCCACCTAGTGTCTGTTGCTCCTTTTGGACTGCAGTGAAGGACAAAACAGCAGGTTGGGAATACCTACGGCATAGGCAAGGTTTGTCCACTATGGGGCTCACCGTGAAGTGAGTGAGCAATTTCTTTAGGGAACTCCCAGTATTGGATGTGTCAGCCATTTCTTTTTTAAAAAAAAAAAAAAGATTTATTCATTTATGTATACAAGAACTGGGGTACAGGACAGATGTGCGGAGGGTGAGAGGATTCACCAGGGACACAGTAGGGAACAGAACAGGCAGATCTACTGAAATACACTGGTGAGGGGAGCAGCGGGCGAGGCAGGAGAAGTCTGCCATGCCATATGGATTGCTGCCTGGCCAGACAGGGGATTAAACTCATGCTGCAGAGGCTGCAGATTGCTTCACAGTGAAGCGCTTAACCCCTTGCACCACCAGGGAGGCCCAAGGGTATGTCAGCCTTTTCTTTTAAACTAACAGCCTCCCCAGAGAGTACTCTCACCCTTCAAAACAGGCTGCCAGGACTTGCCTGGAGAAGGCAGCTGGGCTCCTGCTGTGTACAACAGACCTTCACTGCTGTTGCCAGTTAGCACATTGGCCTCCCCCACAGCTGAACCTGGTAGATTTTAATACAGAGTCTCCTCTCTGGTTTAAGTGGTCCAGGCAGTAAACCTCAACCTTTGATCTGGACAGACAAGGGCATTGGCAAGAACTGGGATCTGCTCCTTAAAAAAAGCTTTTCAAACAAATTTTATTCAGCTGCACCCCACACTGGCCTTCAAAGCATCTTGGTTTTTGTATACATTCCACTCCTGCACTTGCAGGCTCTGCGGAATTTCCCAGCCAGCCTGTCCCAGGCTCATCCACTCAGTCCCCAGCTTTCTCCACCCCACCGCCTCAATTGTAGTGATTGTTGCTATCTCCCTTGCCATTGCCCTGATCTGTGTGGGTTTATACTGAACATTCCTTTACTCTTATTTTGGTGGGGATCACAAGCAAGCAGAGATAAAGTGGCAGGCCTGATCTGCCATGTTTAACCAGAGGAGACATACATTTCTAGTCACTGTAATGACCTTGCATGAAGCTGGTCTATCAAAGTACTATCTCACTGTGCTGATGGAGGCAAGTCTTTTGTCCTCCCTGGGTATCAGTGTTCGCATCTCTGAAATCAGTGCATTGGACTCATCCAAAATCTAAGAGCCCTTCCCGATCAGGCATTCAGGGACTCAGTATTTACCTGATGTCATGAGTCTCAATTCTATCTTTCCCAACTACCTAGAAAATGATTTTGCACAGCAGCCTAGAGAGAAGACAGGTAATTGTATCCCCAAGTAATTCAGAGAAACCTGCTTCACACCAGATCCTTCCTCAAAAACCAGACCTAGAGGCCACGTAGAGGTCACTGGGTCTCTGGTGTCAAATGGGCGCTCACCCAAATTCACTTTCTCCATGTTTAATCCCCAAAATTATATTTTCTTTTTACATTTTTTTATTATTTTTATTTTTTTACATCATTGTTCATTTTTAAACAACATTTGCTTCCCCCCACCCCCTCAGGTATAGTCCCCATCGAGTTTCCTTCACCAATATACCTGTGCACCATCACCTCAGTCCCCTGTGCTCCCCCCTCCCTCCCTCTGATCCCTCTCCCTCCTCCTCCCCTGCAGGATGTCTCTGATTTATAATTGTCTGTATTTGCTTTGTTGTGTTTTGTACTGTTATTTTTTCACACTGATGTCTTATCTGGTTCCCCTATATTCCTGCTACAAGTGAAACCATCCATTATTTTTCTCCCTCCTCCCGGCTCACTTCACTGAGCATAATTGCTCCCAGCTCCATCCAAGTTGCTGGGAATGGCATGATCCCATCTTTTTTGATTGCTGAACAATATTCCACAATTTGATTGTGGTATATATATGCCACATCTTCTTGATCCAGTCATCTATTTTGGGGTATTTGGGTTGTTTTCAGGTTTTACCTATTGTAAATAGTGCTGCAATAAACATAGAAGTACAGTGCTCTTTTGAATCAATGTTATTTTGTCCCTTGGGTAGATCCCTAGTAGAGGAATTGTCGGGTAATATGGTAGCTCCATTTTTAGTAGACTGAGGAACCTCCACACAGCTTTCCACAGTGGCTGGACCAGTTTGCACTCCCCCCAGCAATGTAGGAGAATTCCTTTTTTCCCACATCCTCGCCAACATTTGTTGCTTGTTTTTTTTTTTATATATGCACCATTCTTACTGGTGAAGGTGGTATCTCAGTGTGGCTTTGATTTTCATTTCCTTGATGATAAAGGATGTTGAACATTTTTTCATATGCCTGTTGGCCATTTGCATTTCCTCTGTGGAGAAGTGTCTTTTAAGTTCTTCTGCCCATTTCTTGGCTGGATTATTTATTTTGTTTTTGTTGAGTCCTGTGAGTTCTTTGTATATCTTTGTGATCAGTCCCTTATCCTTGACTGGAATGCAAAGATGTTTTCCCTAGCAGTGGGGTGTCTCTCTGTTTTGGTTAAAGTCTCTTTGGCTTTATAGAGGCTTTTCAGTTTGATGTAATTCCAGGTGTTCATCTTTTCCTTGACTTTCTTTGCTTTGGGTGATGAGTCTTTAAAGATGTTATTGTGATGTAACCAACATTATATTTTCACGCAAAAAAAAAAAAAAAAAAACCCCAAGCTGGCGTAAGAGGGGAGAGTCCTGGAGTAATGTTGGGAGACAGGATGCAAGACCATCCCCTGTCACCAATAAATTATGAGAGCAAGTCTCCTGGCTTCTCAGAAACTCAGCTCCACCCATTGTAAAAATGAGGACAGCATCACCTGCCCAGTTGTGAGGATGAGGATGTGAGAGAACATTATAGGTGCCCCCACACTGACTCGTTGTTGCCTGAACCGGTCGCCTATGTTTTGAGGTTAAAGAAACCACTGTTGGGTTGGGTTTTATGAATTTAGGTTGAGTTCTAATCCCAGAAACCAAGGTCACCTGCTAAAAGGTGATCCCATAGGCATTGGAAACTAGAAGGAGATCTGTTGCAAATAGAAACTGATCACTTCCCCAAATTTACTGTGCATCTGAATCTTCTGGGGGGCCTCTTAATACGCACCTGGCCAGGTCCAACCTGATACTCCTGGTTCAGTCCATCTGGCTTGGAGCCAGGTATTACATTATTTTGAAGCTACCCAGAAGGCCATGGTTAAAGAGCCATATTTAGGGACTAGTGATGTAACTGTCACAAAGTCTAAACTTTTTGTCCTTTGGTGATTCTGCCACCAGATTTAGATGGTCATTCACTTGCTCAGTCATCTTTCAGGAATCCTCATTCCTTATAATGAAAAGCTTCAAATTCTGTAGGTTGGCATTTAAGGCCCTTTGTAATCTGATCTTTGCCCATTTTTTCCACCACTTCTCCTTCTTGAACCTGGTAGGGTTGAGGTAGGTCACTGCCTCCTTGTTTTAATGCACACTGCCCCTTTCTGGCTCCAGGCCCTTTGCTTATGCTACATTCTCCCCACCTCTGACCCCCCCAGCAGCGAGCGTAGAACGTGGCACAGAGTGTGATTCAATGGGTTCTTATTAGGTGAATGCTTGATTAGATGGATAAAGGAATGAGTGTATCATCTGTTCCCTTAGAATCTACCTGGCCAAAAGATGTTGTATTCTTGTTTTTCTGTCCTTAGAAAGTCATTGTGGGTCCAGATACTACCTCCTACAGTCTGGCAGGCCTGACCCCATCCACCCACTACACGGCCAAGATCCAGGCACTGAATGGGCCTCTGAAGAGCAAACTGGTCCAGATCATCTTCACCACAAGTAAGGGGCTCAGGGAGCAGCTGGGCCTTGAGCTGGAACTCTGTGAGATTGAATTGACCCACTGCTTCTCCTCTAACTGCTACTTTTAAGTTTTTCCATGAAATTTCAGAAAAAGATCAATTCCCTGCTACTGCCTGAGAGCCCAGGAAATGTGGGTGCAGGGGGTTATGGGACCTCATGGTGAAAGGGAAGGAGGAGCAGTTGTGAGACCATCTAGCTCCATCCCATCTCCACCACTTGCTCTGGTGACTTGAGAAAGTCACATCCATTCTAAGAACCTCAGTTTTTTCATCTGCACAATGGGTTTAACAACATCTCTTCCTTACAAGGACCTGGTGAGGCTCCTTGCATTATATTTGAATTCCTAGCCCAGTGTGTAGCCTGTTGTCAGGACTTAATATAAGTCTGGCTTCCTTTTCTTTCTACTCCAGCATGTCAGCAATTACAAAGCCCATTCATGTTCCAAGTCACCAACAGTTCTGCCACCAAGCTGGCAGAATGGGCCAGGATTAGCCTGCCTGGTTTTCTGATGGGAGAACAGAGGCTTCCAGAGATTAAATAACCTTAAACGGCTCACCTCTTGAGCCAGAGCTGGGCTCAGTGTCCCAGGTCCAGGGAACCACTCTGCTGCCTGCTATCACTGGCATGCTCTGCAGAACGCAAAGGTGAACCTTGAATTCAAGGCATCTTCCATTTCTGAGAGAGGGAGGAGGCAGCCTTTGGCGAGCCCTGACCATGAATACACAGTGTACCCAGTACCTTTTCACAGTGTACTCCTGCCCTTTTCATGCCACTGTAGGACTTGCCAAGAGAGGTGCATAGGCCAAGGTACCTCTTTGCCAGCTCTTAGACCAGGTTCCGGGAGCACAAACATAAACGTGCCCTCAAATGCTCTCAGACCAGGACCCAGAGATGAACCAGGAAACAGCGAATGATAGAAACTAGGATGGGGAGAGGGGTAGGTTGAGAGGAGATCAGATCATAATAAAGAATCACTGTGGCCATCAGGTGCCCAGCTGACCTACTCAGCACAAGCTCAAGCTGACCCACCTCTATTGAGTTGGTAGTGTCTGACATCGCACTGTTGCCCTGGGGAGTCCCCAGGATTCTGCTTTATCCCTCGAAAGTTCCCAGGCTCCCAGAGGTTCAGTCACTTCGCTGGTGTCCCAGGGCAAGGGAGCGGCAAGACCCAGACTGGAGGCCTTGTCTTTGACTTCAGAAGCCTCTGAAGAAACTTCGATACATGCAGCCTAATAGAGTTCCCTGAGCCACCCAATGGGTGTGAGAAACCCAGCCATCCTGGCTGGTACCTGGGTGCCCAGCAGATGCTACCTGGGTGCCCCCCTGGTGCTGCCTGTCTGGTTCAGGTAGATTGAAGCCAGCCTGACACCGGCCCCTCACAATGGCTCAGCTCGCCTCCCACTGAGAACATAGGTGGCTTCCACCAACAAAATGGGCTGAGACGGGCCACAGATACCCACCACTTCTGAGCCTCTAGGCACTCCTGCCAATAGCTTTATCCCCATCTTGCGCAGAGGGACAGAGGCTCCAGGAAGTCGAGTTGCTTGTCACAGGCATCCAGCCAGAGGAGTGAGCTGCGATGCAAGGTGCCTGCCACAGGCAGCCCCGGCCCTGGGAGCCTCACCCTGCCCTCTTCTCCCGCAGTTGGACTCCTGTACCCATTCCCCAGGGACTGCTCCCAGGCGATGCTGAATGGAGACACTACCTCGGGCCTCTACACCATTTATCTCAACGGCGACAAGACCCAGGCTCTGGAAGTCTTCTGTGACATGACCTCTGACGGGGGCGGCTGGATTGTAAGTGCCATTCCCAGGCCTGCAGGATCAGGGCAGAGGCCAAGGGGCAAGGAGCTCCTCCCAGCCCTCTGGGCACACGGAGACAGGCATCAAGTAGCTCAGGAATTATCTCTTCAACAAGGAGATGGTGTAGAAGCCGGGGGTTAAAAAAAAAAAAGTTTTTTTTATAATTTATCTCATTTGCTCCCCCAAAGAACTCTGTAATAAAAATAGCAGTGGACAAGTCCAGTATGTACAGTAATTAGCACTATCAGGAATAGTTATCAGACATTATGCTGTTTCATACCAATCATTTCAATACGTTACCATACAGGCTGGGTAGCATCTTTGTAGTGAATAAACTTTATCTTTTAGAGCAGTTTATAGCAAATTGAGCCAAAAGTACAGAGGGTGCCCAGATCCTCAGCCCCCACACACATGCATCCCCAGTATGGACCTGGCCTCACCAAAGTGTTGCATTTGCTAAACTGGGTGGCGTTTGTAACCCCAATTTATCAGGTGAGAATCCCAAGGCACAGAAAGGGGGGTGCCAAGTGCAGAGTCACATGCAATTAAGTAAGGAAAGGAGTTAGGGTTAGAGAAGGGGGCTCAGTCCACCTGCCAAAGATGGCCCCTCTCTCCTTCAATAGCTGAGTGCAGCCAGATTCACTGCTCATGTTTGCAGGTGTTCCTGCGACGCAAGGATGGACACGAGGACTTCTACCGGAACTGGAAGGCCTATGCTGCTGGGTTTGGGGACCGCAGAGAAGAATTCTGGCTTGGTAATGCAGCCCTGCCTCAGAGCACCACATTTCTGTCCTCCTTGTCATGTGTCCTAACCCACAGTGACTTCATGGGAGGAGAGGATTAGGAAGGAAACAATGGCACTGGAAGTAGACACAGAATATTACCTAAAAACAAAAATCAGGTCAACAGGGAGAAAACTGTGAGATCTTACGAATGAGCGTGACTGTAAATCATTCCCCGAACCATTAATAGACTCATCCTCACTGACAGCATTAACTGCTTTCATTCTGGGCTCCAGGGCTGAAATGGGCTCCTGTAGCAAAAACCTCTAAGCCACAAGCCCCTTGCAAGTAACATAACTACCATCTTGCACGGGGGCAGCAGAGCCTTGGAGAGTTGAAGTCACCGGTGTGTAGGAATCTAGCAATAGGCAGTTGAGCTGCCATTTGTAATGCCCCAAGCCAACACTACAGTACCCTCCTCCATGCAGCCATCCAACTCCCACTTCCTGTAACCTGCCCACAAGGGACTTGGCTCTGTGTGCCTGGACCTGCCCAGGGAGTATCTGTCCTCCTATCATCCTCTGCCTTCTGCTTGTAAGGAGCAAAAGTTTAAAAGCTGCTTCCTCTGCCTTTTTTCTTTTGTTCATCACAATACACTAAGAGATCAGCAGGACAAAGATATCAAGGGGATGTCACCTGCAGCTTAGAAGCCTCAGGTATCCTGCCAGGTGTTGCACCAGCAAGGAGCAGGCTGAATTGCATCCCAGTGTATACGACACCAACCTCCTTAAAGTTGGCTTAGCTGCTGCTCCTACAGGGCAGAGAGGACTTATGGTCTCCCCTGTCACCCACAGGGCTGGACAACCTGAACAAAATAACAGCCCAAGGACAGTACGAGCTCCGGGTGGACCTGCAGGACCATGGGGAAGCTGCCTATGCCGTGTACGACAAGTTTAGCGTGGGCGATGCCAAGACACGCTACAAGCTGAAGGTGGAGGGCTACAGCGGGACAGCAGGTATGGAGCCCCCCAAGCCACAGAGCTTCTGGGTGTTTTTAGCTAATTCCTCCAGGTGTCACTCCTACCTTCATGAATCCATCCTAGAACTCTTCTAGGTACTCATCCAGAAGAACTAGAATTGGACAAGTTGGGGAGACATTTGGTCACTGAAATGTAGAGTAGGTTGGGAATATGGACAATGGAGACTGATTTTTAGCTACCACCACTCACAGAATGTCTTTTTTTTCTTCTCCCTTTATGGTATCTGTTGTAGACTGATGGAAAAAGAGTCTCTCAGGGCTTTCATACTCATCTAATCCAATACTTCTAAATGTATCAAGGGCATATGGCCCACGGGGGATCCTGCTAATGTTCAGGTGCTGACGGACATGGGGTACCTGGGTTGAGGGTGAGATGCCACATTTCCTGAATTAAATGTCCCTGGTGAAGCCACTGTTGATGGTCAACAGCACTCTGAGCAGCAGACAATCCCCTCCATATCTATACTGCTTGAATTGCTTTTAATACATCCCTGCAGGCTATAGTCCAGACTCAGCCTGCACCCCCATGCACAGGACTCACGATCTTTTATGCACCTCTCAGCCCTTGTCTGGTACATAATCTAGCTCAGGTCTTAGGGATTTCTTGACTTGAAATGATATCTGTGTGCATGAAGATACATGGCTTTTGTGCAGATGAGGACAGCCGGGCTCAGAAAAGTGTGGTAATCTGCTCAGGGTGAAGTACCTGGCACAAGGTGGGTCTGGGTGCAAATCTGGCTGCAGCCTGTGTACTTGGTAATGAGGAAGGACCAGGCCTGAGAGTGTGCCTGGCTCATGCCCACGCTGGGGTGGTTTTTCCAGTTCTGTTTATGAAAACAGATGCCATGGCATATTTCCAACCTCTCTGAGCCCTGCGTGAAAACTTCCAGATAGATGAAAACATCCAGATAAAGACTTGGCAAGAGCCAGGCTCAACCTCAGGAGGGACCAGGCTCTTTAGAGATGGCAGTCTGGTGGTAATGAAGAGAAAAACCCAGGGGCAAAAATTGTTTTCATTCTTGCTGCCCTCAAAGAATTCTGACTTTTTATACCTGGCAATAAATACCTCTTTGGTTGAAGAGCCTCCAGGCAAGAAGGATACTGTTACACAGTAAGCGGAGCCACCAGCAGCAGGAATGTGGCCTCCGCCCATCCTGCTCCCCAGGGAGAGACAGAGCAGCACTGTGCCCTTGCTCAGATGGCCCTTGTCCTGCATCCTCCCTGTGCCCAGGCAGCCAGCCTCACCTCAGCAGAACATCTTGTCTACTCAGTAACCACCTGCCATCCTCACGCGCTCACTGGCTTTGTCTGGTAGGAAGGCATCTACCTCCTCTTAACAACTTGCTTTAATATGGAAGGAGGATGCCTCGGAGTCTTGACATCCTTATGCACAGCACCGGCTGTTCGGGAGTCAGGAGACACAGAGCAAAAGGACATTTAAATGTTCCTGTTCAGTATCGGGCACTACACAACCAACGCCAAGTGGCACACTATGTAATGGGCTTTTGGTCTAAGAATTGGGAGCACTGGACAGGTCAATACATTAAAAATGACTGTATGATAGGCAGGTTATTTGTGACATCCGATATCTGAAGAGGTAATTATAAGTATGGCTATAAATACTGATATTGGGGTGAGGGAATGCATGCTGTAATTAAATGCAGATGTCTCATCTTACTCTCTGAGCTCTCTTATGTAAAGGGATTGGAAAAAATAATCATAAAAATAACAGCCATCATAGCTATTTGCATACCACCCAGCCTGTTTAGCATACATCTTTACACCCACTGTCCCAGGTTCTCTTTTATTAATGAGAAAACAGAGGTTCAGCAAGAGCCTTGGCTTGAGCATGGTCAATTGACCTACCCCCAACTCCAGGTCAAATAACCAAGGTCAAGGATAAATTAAGAGCTAAAAAAAAAAGTCATGGGACAGAAAGCCGGACCCTCCAAAGACCCCTGCTGCCCCCATCCTACCACAATATGCTCTATCTAGTAGACGGGAGGCCTCAGCGTGACCCTCACATCCATCCACTCCAAGTGTGATCCTAATTCTTGCCCAGTGTTCAAGGCCAGGCCACCTCAGGGTTCTTTGGTGGTCACCCCGGTTCTGCCTTCACAGTTCACGGAGACACTCCCACCGGGATTTCTCAGGTGCACTCTCTCTCTCTCCTAGGTGACTCGATGGCCTACCACAATGGCAGGTCCTTCTCTACCTTCGACAAGGATACAGATTCAGCCATCACCAACTGTGCCCTGTCTTACAAAGGGGCTTTCTGGTATAAGAACTGTCACCGTGTCAATCTGATGGGGAGATATGGGGACAACAACCACAGTCAGGTGAGTGAATGGCGATGGTCCCAGGCAGGGTTGGAAGCCAGTTGGAGGTGATGGGAGAGCAGTGTGGTCCCTCCATTCCAGCCAGGAGTAGGAGGCAGGAACTCTGGAGTATGTCATATTCCTTCCTGACACAACATGGACAAATTTAAGTGACACGGCAGGTCTGGTCAGGCCATAGAAATAGCACCTGTGTTAATCCATGCTAACCTGGGAGCGCCACTGCTCCAGTGGATTTTAAACATAGAAAGTTTTCCTTGAATAGAATCTTTGTCTGAACCTCAAATGAGAGCAGGTAAAAGAGGAGGCCCTTTCAGTGAGGAGGGATGATACAAGCCCAGGGCACTGCCACCTCATCCTGACCTGGAGCCACTCCAGACCCCAGCAACACTTTGGAAAGACCACATACTAAGTCACTTCACTGTATGACTCATGAGTGAGCCTGGAGGATGACCTCCTGAGGTCAGAGTGGAGTGGGAAGTAGACCCTGAGACCCCCACTTTGGGTCCTGGCATTTCTCTGTACCACACAAGATGCTGAACGTCATCCCCACAATGGCAGACACAGAATTTTCTTGTATTTTTTTTATTGAACTAAGTAACATTGGTTTACAGCACTGTATGTGATTTAGGGGCCTGGGGTCACACCTTTTCTGATGTATATCACCACGCCGCCCCCACTTCTCAGTTTTGTAGTCAGATTTCTAGGGTTTTTTTAGTTCGTTGAATAGTTTCGTCTGTTCCTTTGCCCTATTTCTTTAGACTCCTCATATGTGTGAAAAAAATCCGATCTTTTTGCTGGTGACTTCACTTAACCTCCTTCCCTCCAGCTGCATCCATTTTGGCAAATGACAAAATTTCTCCTTACTTGAGATTAGGAAAGTAAGAAAGCGAGCACCTACTATCACCCAGCACTGTGGGTAGCTCCTCACAATCTCATGGAATCTTGTGTCATCCTTTCGAGATTGTCATTATCAGACTGTAGGCTGAAAAAAAGACAAGGAAGCTGAAGAGGTTGATGACTGTTCAAGATCATCTCTCTCTTAAGAGCGCTAAGAGTTAACCCTATGTGTCAGGGTTCAAACTAGTATCCCAGGAAAGTGCTTTCTGACATTCCATGCAAACCCCAATCTAAATACTCCATGGAAATTCTTCCCCCACATCCAATTCTATAACTTCCCCTCAGGATGTGAATTCTCTCAGTTCCATTTCTTTTCACGATGACAAGTTTCAGCAGCCGCCATTTTGTTTCCAGAGGGTATTTCAAAGTGCATTGAAAATTCAAGCAATTCCAAGTAAAAATGTGGGTCCAGTTCAGCCCCTATGTAAGTTTGCATAGTGCAGACAGTAGACAGGCAAGAAACAGCTGTGAGCCATCACAGAGTCAAGGTCAAACTGAACATGTTTTGTTCCGTGCACTAATCAGCAGTGGCCAGAGAACACCTTGCCTGCCGTATGGACAGTCATCCAAGAGCTTTTCTTTTTCACAGGGTGTCAACTGGTTCCACTGGAAGGGCCACGAATACTCTATCCAGTTTGCTGAAATGAAGCTGAGACCCAGCAACTTCCGAAACCTTGAAGGCAGGCGCAAACGGGCATAAATTCCAGGGACAACAGGGAGGGAGAAGAGTATGGCCCAGAGAGAGAAAGAATTTTACCAAAGCTTCCGTCCATCCAGTCCAACCATCAGGCCTCAGCTGGGCATTTGGCAGGAGTGAAAGTTGGCCATGAATCTTCACAGCCAGGGGCAGCAGCCCGGGGCCCCCACTCGGCGACTCCTTCCTTCGCACCAAAGATGACCGTCTCCAGCAGGTTTCTGTTTTGTTGTTTGATTCAACAAAGAACCCTCCAGTGACAGCATCACATGGTTTTCCTCCTGTTGGGTGGCTCTGGGAACAGGAAAGGGGTAGGCTGTACAGTGGTAGTTTGTTGTAGAACCAGCTGTATTTTACACAAAGCTGTATAATTAATTATGATTATTTTTGTTAGCAGTGATTAAATATGTGTCATTGGAAGTCGTCCCGTTTTTTACATTTCATACAACAGAATCCAGAAAAGCAATACTGTTTTAATGTTAAGGATATGATTAATATTATTAATATAATAATAATGGTGGTGATGAAAACTAAGGATTTTTTAAGAGATCTTCTTTTCCAAAACACGCCTGGACAGTACCTGATTGTTTGTTGTTGTTGTTGTTTTTTAATAAAAGCACAAGTACTTTTCTGTTCGGCTGCTGTTTTGCCTTTTGTTGTTGAGCCTGAGTCCCACAAAGCCAATGTGCTTGAGACATGTCACAAAGGAGAGGAAAGGAGAGAGGGGAGTCAGGTGGGGAGGGGAGTCAGCTGGGGAGGGGAGGAGAAAAAAGCCCAGCCAGGGAGAGAGCCAATTTGATCCAAATTGAATAAGGTCAGAGAAAATTGACATGTGAAGATTCACCTTCTCGTCCTACATTTCCACATCTCATGGTTCGTGGTTTACAAGATGCTTTAATGTCTCTTTTCCAATGCAATCCTCTGTAAAAATTCTAGGTTTTTAAATCTATTTTTCAGTGCAATCTCCTACAAATTCTGTACTGCAGACAGTCACACAAGGAATAAAATCCTCGTAGGCAGACTTGCAAAAATAAAATCTTGGCTCTCCCTCTCCCTGCTTCCCTAAGGTCTCCCTGCCTCTGTTTCCTCATCAGTGAAGTGACAAGACTCACTTATGCTGCCTACTCTCACAGCATTTCTGTGAAAAATTGATGGCATAGTCCCTACAGGCCGTGGCATGGTGCCTGACACAGTAAGTGCTAACAGGCTTTCCCACTCACTAGCTCACTGGAGGGCACCCTGGGGGTGGGTCAGAGCAGTCCAATGACCTTTGAGTGGCTACTCCCCTATCAAATGGAAAAGTAGGATTTTAACAGTGGCCTCTGGCCCCCACATTTCTGATCTCTTGGGCACTTGATGAAATCTGTCCTTCCTTGAGATGTGTCCCAGGGTGAGGAGGTACAGGCTGCAGAAGGAGGGGTGTGATGAGGAGGTCCCCCTCGCTCCCTCGTCAGGTTCCCGTCAGCCCCAAGATTTAGGACTACAAAGAACGTCGGTTAGGAATATCTCCTTCTTCCCAACTCAAAGCCCCCAATGGAAAAGAGCTAAGTGGCCCCCAGGCCCAGCCTGAATACTCGTGCTGGTGGAGGTGGGGGCGGGCTTCCGCCTAGCCCAGCCCAGCGGTTCTGTTTGTACTCAGCAAATATGAGTCTGAACCACTCATTACCCTTTGTTCTTTCACAACAAGGCGGGGCAAGGGGAAGCTATTTCCAGTTCATTCTCTTAGGGATTTCCAGCAAATTGACTTATTTAATGAAACTGTTTGTGCTGATAGGCCTCATTCAAATGGAATGTGATGGCTCAGAAGCAAAGATCAGAGGAATCTATGGCTCCAAGGGATCTTTTGCTGCTGAGTTTATCTTGCTTTAATAAACGCTGTCACGTTACATGCACCATTTGCGGTTCCAGATCATGAGACGTGTTGCCTGCGCTGCAGTCATAGCAATGCTGGCCTCCGCTGGGTAACCCAAACAAAGGGCGCCCTAGAACAAGCAGGCCTTGTGCGGAAGCTTAACCCTCAGGCCCTAGATGCTGACCTGGGAGTCTCGGAGGGCCAGACCTACCCCCGCCCAGAAATGAGAGATCCCCACTCTCTGATGGTCTCCCTCGGAAGCCGCGTGAGAATGAATTCTGCTGGGGTGGAAGGAGCAAGCAGCAGTGGTTTAGCATGGGCTCTGGCTGATCGTGCTTGCCTGCATTTGGGGGCCAGGTAGGAAGAAGGGGCTGAAGCTGTGGCCTTCCAGCCCTCACCGTCGAAAGTGTGAGCTCCCCCCTTTTCATACACCCTGCAGTACCCCCGACTCTGCATTGGCAGTGCACCTCCGCCATTTTAAAAGGGCTGACATTGCAGCGCTTGGCCAAGGTCCGCTGGGCCTCAATGCGCAGGTGTGTGGCTTTCCTTAGCCCCTCCCCGACCTGCCGAAACCCTCCCAGGCCGAGCGGTGTGAACACCACCAATGAACTTCCATCTTCTCAGGCCTCCTGTCGGGTATCGAAACCAAAGGCTGAGGCCCTCGGCAGCGCGGTGAGTCAGGGGAATTATTACTTTCCAGCTCTATCTCCGCATCGCCTCCATGGCTGACAGTTTACCTGATCTCATAACAGTCACAAGGCCTGTCTGTCACTGCCATGTCCACACCAGTCTCTCTTCAGGGTTCGTGTAACTGCTCCTCAAACTGGCCCTCTCCAGCCCGAGCTTCTCTTCACCTCAGAGACCACTGCTGGCCTTGAGGAATCTGACCAGCCCTGTGCTACTCATACAGAACGCCGGCCTCAGTATCCCTCAGCCAGTGCAAGCAAACAGTTTGAGAAAAATAGTTTAATTGTGGAGAAAATGAGGCGGGCAGCAGATGCGGGTCTGAAAGACCATGGTCCTGCTCTTTGGTAGAGTGCAGGGGTGTTTCCACAGAGGAATGAAGAAAGGAGGAGATGGGCCAGGGTTTGCAGGCATATGGAGAACACCTGCTGCTTAACTTCCTGATTAGCTTGTTAGGAATGGCCTTCCTTGTCTTTAGAATGTGAGAAGACAACCCTGTTAAACAAGGATGGGACATGCAAGAGATAGGACTGCTTATGTGGTGGGGCAGGAAGAGATACCAGTCCTTTGTCACTGCCTCAGGGCTACATAGTGCCCTCACCGGTAGGAATGGTCCCTCTACTTAGACTCTTCTCAGGAATCCTGATAGGCTCCCCCACTCCAGGGAATGCCCCGGCTCCTGGTACCACCACCCTGCCTGCCTGCTTGCTTCATTTCATCGTCACTTCTCAGCACACCTTGCGCGCTGTAGTGAACTTTGGTCGTTAACGGCTTGTCAGCATCCAAACTCTTTTCTGGTTTTAGGGAATTCCGCATAATATGAGTGTTACTGGGCAAGGAAGAGGGCTACCCCAGAACCCCAACCCTGCCTGGTCTAAATAGGTTCTGCCCTCCGCTGCATCCAGACAAAACATACTGTAGTGCACAAGACCATTAATGGAAAGGAATTTTAATACAATTACTGTGCAATACAGACAAGACAAAGAATATAGTTTCCAAATCAAGCACCCAAAGTTACCCACTTCCTAGTGGGTAAATGCCCAGCCAAGCAGGACTGGCCCAAAGCAGATCCTCTGAGCTCCAAAACCTGGCCACAAGTCTGAGGCACCTTCTGGTGGGGACCCATAGAAAAGGGTCAGAAACAACCAGACCAGTCCGGGAAGAAAAGAGCAAAATCAAAATCCAGATAACGGCTGCCACTGTGAACCTCCCCACGGGTGTCTCAGCCACATCTGTTTCAACCAATCCAGGAGCAAGAAGTAAGAACAGCTTCTTCACATGCCTGTCAGCTCCACGTGCCTCTTGCAGGTCTCCTCCGCTCTCCATCCTTTTTCTCTCCTCCTCTTGTCTGCACTGTATCTTCTCCTCCCTTCTCAGCTCCACCCTCCCTAAGGTGGGGCAGGGAACCTGGCACCTACCCTTTTTCTGGGGCCCACCCTGATACAATCTCCCCTTTAATTTGTATTCCACTCTGTGTATGGTGGCACAGATATCAGGGTGCAGTCTTAGAAGACAGTTTTTTTCAAGGTTCCTTTCTGCATGACCCTGCCTTCCACCATAGAAGCCACAGGGGAAAATGTTCTTTCCTCCCTATGGTGCCAGGACATGGACCCCTCACTTGGGCTTTGCTGGTTGGATACGCAAAGAAGGGCTTTGACCCTGAGCAAGGAATGTAAAACAAGGAGCCACTTGTGCAGCTGGTTCCCCGCCACCACCCCAGGTACAGGAGCAGGGCTGTCTGTGGGTCAGTGGCCAGCAGCTGAGAGGGACGTGGCAGTGTTTTTTTCCAAAGGCAGCGTCTGCTTCCAGTGGAGACAAAGGCATACGAGCCAAGGTTTTTGCTACCTGGCCTTCTTTGGCTCCTGAGAAGTTTTCTGAGACAACTTCTCACACTCTGTTCATCTTATCAGTTCCTGAGATCCTTCCAGAAAATTCCTTTTCTGCTTAGCATCAGATGATTTCTGATGCTTACAGTGAGATATCTTGACTGCTCATCTCTTCCCCCAAACCATGGGCCCTTCCCGTTTACTGTCACAGTGAAGTTAACACTGGGCTTGGTGCTTTAAACAGCTGAGTTCAATTGAGCCACACAGCAATTGAGCTGTGAGCGAGGAAATCCCTCCATTTTTACACAAGGAAACAGCCTCAGTGGGGTCAGGTGACTTACCCACAAGCACACACTGCTAGCGCCAGATCAAGCTCTCTGGCTGGTCTCCTGATTCCAATATCTCTGCAGAAAGGAGATTTTACTGCTTTGAGGAAGCCACACGACAGTGAGAAAGGCTCTTTATTCATTGAACAAACGCTTCTTGAGTGCCTTCCATGTGGAGGGATTCTTCCGTGAAAAAGAGAGGAAAAGATTCCCTGGCATCACGGAATGTATATTCTAACAGGGGATAATGAACGATGAGCACAATAGACGAGCAAATGAAATGGTGCACGGGAAGGTGAGAGATGCCGCAGGGAAAAGAAAACGGTGCAGCAGGTAAGGCGAAAGAAAGCGCCATAGGGTAGTCAGCAGGGCAGGGCTTCATGAGTAAAGGCTTGGAGGGAGAAGTTGCTCAAGAAATGTTTGATCACTTCCTGCACTGTGACACGGGAGAGTGGCAGTCTGGAGGGTGATGAGCTCGTCCCAGGGGACAGCAGTGGGGGTTCTGCTATGAGCACAGGGGTTCTGCTAAGAGCACAGGTTGCTGTGCCCCAGGGAGCATGGGTGACTGTCCTCCAACAGGAGGGGAGTACTGCAGGTGCTCCTCAGCTTGCCTTCAGTGACCTGCCTGCTGTCAAGCATCTACCCACACAGCCTGTCCTTTGGGAATATGAAAGGTCCCAGCTTCTCTTCTCTACTCACCCCTTCCCAGTCCTGGTCCTTCCCACCTTCCCATGCCATCCCTGAGTACCCAGTTCTTGCTCTCATGGATTGTGCTTAGTGGTTCTCAAATTCTCATTTCTTTGTTCTTTTAACTGTCCACAGCTCTTGTATGCATAAATAAATGAATTTTTTAAAAAGTCAGCCAGTAGTAGGCCTAGCACCAAAGGAACAAAGTGATGTCAGACCTGCCCCCTGGGACAGCCTCCAGG